ACTGTAGTTTGGAGAAAAAAAGTATTTCGCTCCAGAGCGGAAAAGAGAGGAGACATGATGGCAGACAGTCAGAAATGGACAGAGACAGAGAGCTGTGGGAATAAAGATTTAAAGTGAGCTTTGCTTGTTTCAGGGGCTGGGAAAGAGAGCCCACAGAACAAATGAGAAGTAAACACACAGCCACAGGAAGCCATTAACTGCAGTGGGGGCCAATTAGGCCTCAGCAGGTGTTCTTGCCTGGGCCTGCTTTGGTCCTGCCTCACCTCCGTCTGACAGAGCCCCGATCGGAGCTGAGGAAACAACGGGTAGTTTCATTTGCTCAGCAATTTCATGCAAAGTATTCCTTCTGGAGGGCCCCTAAAAGTCCTTTATTGTGCTCTCTTTGTCCCCTCCCTCCCAACCCCTCACCCCCAAGTGCAAGTCATTAGAGAAGGACAATTACATCCTCCTCATGAAGCTGGTCTTTTACAGGGGGGGGGGAGATAAGACAGGATCTCTCTCTTATGCCAGACCCCCTCTATGCAGGCACTCTCTGAAGCGTATTGCTCTTTTCACACCCTGACAGAACACAGACAAGGCGGTCAAAATCAAAGTCAATCACAGCAGCTACTGTGGAAGGAAATGCATTCACAACAGCTGATAAGAGCTTCAGAGATCTTCCAAACAGGGCTTTTCGCTTTCCTTTAATTGAATAGAAATTTAAAAAAAAAACACGTTTGATGCCACTTTCCAGTAACTGACTAAATTTCTTTGAATTAATTCAATATACAGTTTACATTTAAGCTTCAAATTTATTCTTCATATATTTGAAATTTACCACTTTTAATATGATGGAAAGACTAACTAAAGAATTCTTGATATTGTTTTCATATTTCAGAATATGTATTTTTCCCGTTAGATACTGTCCGCTTGGCATCTATAGTTTGACGATTTGAAAACAAGAACTCTTAATCAAGCAGAGTTGTGTATCTTATCAAACAAAAGTGAGTTTTTTTTTTCTTCTTACCATTATGGTTTCATGGAAGTTCTTTCCTATGTTGATGTTATTCATGTGCTGTAAGACATCCGATGAAAGAGAGGCTTGCTAACCACAGCTGACACATGCTGTTTAAACAGAGAAAGGTGATTAGGAGCTTTAACCATACCGATGACAACAATCAATGATAAAATCAGCCAAACGGTAATTAAGGACGCATAATGGTTTGTCACACATCTAGTCCCGTGGTCACACACAATTATTTGGCTGTGAGTTTCAAACTCTCCAACTCAATTTTGTAACCTCAGTCGCTATACAAATAATTCTCACAAAAGAATTGGGTCTTTAAACTATCTTTTAAGACAATGATTAGCAGGACTTTGCTTCAACTGCTCATCATCTCCGCTCTCAGCAGTGCTGAAGGATTTGATAGACGCTGCTGACCCCTGGTGTGTAGTCTGACTAAGAATGAGAAAACCAGGATGCTGCCCAGAAGCTTCAGAGCCTAAGAGTCACCGAAGTCAGCAGAATTCAGGACCTGAAATAAAAGAACTGAGCTTGAGATTCGTCTGAACTTAACAGGCTGAAACCAAAGATGTCGTGGACTCTATTGTTGCCACAATCCTTGTGAGTGGAAGTTGTCTTTTGGAGGTTTCATCACAATGCATAATGTATGCCTCCAGATGGCGCTGGAGGATAAACAAAGAAAGTTAGGTCAATGAGCAGCAAATATTTGCCACTTGCACTTGGAGACTTCCGATGATGCTGTGATCAGAGACCACTTTCCTTTCACTGCACCTTTGGGTATCTTTTGGATACAGCATATGGGTCTTTTTATGGCCAAATGTCTGAAAGACTGCAGTGCTGAAATGAGATGATTCACCCTGAACGAACTGTCAGGCCTCTTGTGCCGGGGTTTGAGCTGCTGTCTTATAATGGACTCCTCCTCCTCCTTGGCTCAGTTTTGGCTTAATCTCCCATCTATTAAAAGTAAAACATCTAATTTAGATGCTGTGGGAGTTAATCAGCCAGCTTGCTGGAAGACTGAGAAGAAGAAGAATGTTTTTTTTTCAGCAGTGATCCCTCTTGTCTGCCAAGAGCTCCCTCCCACACAGCAGCCTACTTCTTCTGTTCTTGCAATGCACAACCCAAAAGACAAAAATAAAACGTATATGCAGGAGCAGCGTGTCCACCTCCCCTCCTACAAGGCTCTCACCCTCATCCTGATCTTCAGTGTGCCTCCATCGAGACAACAATTTAACCAAGTAACCGTGCAGCTTATGCTGTATCAAATGTTTCTCAAAGCAAAATGTCTACAGTGTCCACAGAAAGTAAAGAAGAACACTGGATAAAAAATAAAAAACAGGGTGCATGTGAATGTACCAAAAAAATCTTCCTCCAAAAATGTGTAAATGAAGATGAAACCATGATTAAGCCTTTATAGGGGGACACGGCTCTCATCTGGGTCTCCTTTTGGTGTCACTGAACAGGCATACGACTCCTGTTCATGGGCTCAGGCTTTTCGGGAAGTTTCAGCTTTGTCTATTCTCACAAAAGCTGCTGGGATTTATCACACCAGAGCAAACGGGCCGGCAGTTCTTTGCCCTCACTGCTGTGAGCAAAGTGTCAGTGACAAAGTGGAGGCAACATCCATCTGTGCTCCCTGCCAAGACAAATCAGAACCGGATAATGTGGCTCCCCTGCTCAATCATGTCACCGTCCTACTGCCATCACGTTACTGCAGTGAGAGGTCAGCGTTCTTTTTTCCCCCACTCCTGATCCAAAAAAAGCTGACTGGATTAGCACCGGGTCATAATAGAAATAATAAAGAATGTGGATGCTATGAGGACCTTAAATATCAGTTCAAAGACATCATCCACAAATAAGTTGGACATTGTTGCACTGATCCATAGCTTTTAGACCATAGCTTTTAGTTCTATATGCCCCCCCCCACCACCACCACCCCCAACGCACACACACTACTCACACACACACACACACACAGTCATGAATAGCTTGGCTGTTGGCCAAAATCAGGGAAGAGTGACTACTATGTAGAGACTTGCAAACAAGGCCACAATTGAAAGTACACAATAGAAGAAGGGATTACACAACTCTTGGTTACCAAGTCAGTAGATAATGTTGCTACAGGACTCACGACGGACCGAACAGGTCCTGGTACACACTGCACATGCCTGTGATCTCAGTCCACACCACATGACAATCAAATCTCTTGTGACGGCTGAAGTGGAGCATCTATCCAGGACAAGAAGCGTTTTTGTGGAAGCTTCTTTCTTTTGCTCACAACACCGCTGAGAAAATCAGCAATCTCATGCATTATGAAATCATTTCTTTTTGTTGTATTTAAACAAAGAGATGTCCAACACCCTGAAAAATGACAGCATTGCCTTTTGACACATGACGGCACCAACAGGTATAAAGTCTGAAGTTTTTCATGTGTTGATACATACATAAAACTCAGTGTTCCCTGTCACCACCACAAAGATATTAAGCTGCTGGGAGATGTGAATGGAGGTATCTTTTTTATTTGTATCATAAAAGCGGATGGTGTGATGGCCTTTAATAAACCTGTAGCCTAAATGTCTCTCACCAAGTTACAGTACAAAACTGGAAGTGCTTAGTTACAGCAGGAACGTCCACTGCAGACACACAAACACAGTCGGAGTAGGTTTGTCACCCAACAAAGACAGCAAATCCATATTCAAGGCTGGCTTGTTAATATTGCTCTCTGATTAGTTTTCTGGGCCACAGAGTTAAATGTAAGATGGGGAAATAAATAAACACAGAAGCCAACAGTCATTTTATCACTTTAATTCTCTCTTTTGTTGTGATGTTTGGTTGACTTTCAAAGCCAACATTTTTTTTGTTCCCCAACCAGCTTTCTCCCTGAGCGGTACAGTTTTAGAGCAAAAACAGAGTGAACCGAGTGCCACAACAGATCGCAGATGTCAGGGTTTAGCTTTCAGTGAAAAAAACCTCAGCAGTAAAGAAAACTAGCCTGAAAGTTTTGGCAGATTTGGCAGAAACACAAGATGTCTCTTCTAGTATTATGCCATGTTTTGTTTGAAATGGAAGGTAGATTGAGGTATTTCCTGAAGAGATCTTGCACATGGGTTCAGTAGCACGTTGGTCAACCCTGATTAACAGGAAATCTAAGTAGCTTAGAATGCTAATGCCCAAATGTCCCAAGGATTTAAGAAAAGGTCCTTAAAATACTCCCTGGGAGCCAGTCATGAGTGTAGAAGAAACCTAATGACCATAAAACAGAAATACAATGATGTCAAAAATACAAGCAAATTGACTTTTAAGTGACTTAATAGGGACAACACTTTTTATTAAAAATATAGAAATAAAAATCATTTAAAATGGCTTAAATCCATGAACTTGGAAAACAGTTAGAATATTTAGCAAATACTGAATACTGTAAACCAACTGTCCAATCCATGAAAAACTATTTAACCCTCTAATTCGAGGGAAAGGAGGATTCCAGTTGGCTTTAGTAGACGGCGCATAAAGCCCTTTTGTTGACCGTTTATTGTTCTCCAACACAAAGAAAGCTTTCGCGTGTCTTTACGCAGACCAATCTACTGGCGCGCCACTGAAAACAAAAACCATGTGCAAAGGACGAGAGCGTTCAAGTGAAACAGACTTAAAACGTACAAAAAATCAACATGTAATTGGCGAAACTGTTGCAAAGCAGCTTTAAAAAGCACTGCAGCGTGCCAGTAGACGCTGGCTGCAACGCACTAACAAAAGGTCTGCTCATTCTGCTGAAACAAGTGAATGCTTCTTCTTATTCAAATGCAGATTGCTGATCTTTATTGGTCTTTATTGGTTTAAAACGTGATATTAGAGGCGCCTAGGTTAATCCCAACACGAACGAACATTCCCCTGAAGTCAAATTGTCTCCTCCTAAGATGCAACAGGCCGTCATCGGATCAGTTTCAGTGCTCCATAGTGTCTTTTGTCCAAGTCGAAAAATAAAACCACTGAAGACGAGGCGTCAGCAGCCTTTAAGGTGCGGAAGTGCTGAAAGTTTGTCGACTTTTCCCAAAGCAGCTGCATTTTCCACCCCTTTCAGCCACTCTTTACATTTCCTTACGACGTTCTCGTCCACGTCTCCATCCTCCTCCTCGTACTCCACATCGTCATACTTGTACTGGTCATTAAGCAGGGATATTTTGACTATGGCGGTGATGTCCGGCTCGGGGCTGTCCACTCGGGCCCCCGGAGCGCAGCCCTTGGAGCCCGCGTGCGCTTTTTTGGACGGAAAAACTCGACGGTGCCGAAAGTCAGCGGAGGCGCAGCACTTCTGCTGCTTTGCCATCATCTGCTTTTCAAGATTCCGTTTTTGGATAACAAGTATGGCTTCGGGGGTTAGGCTGAGGGTAAATTGAATTTCCTTCTTCCCTTCCTCCTTTCTGTGGAGATGCCTGGCGGAGTCCATGGAGCTGGAGCGCCTCACTCCCTGGGATGAGTCCTGTGGTTTCGGCACCGAAAGCCAGGAAAATTTTGCCTGAGTCTCTTGCCCGGCCCCGGGTTTCTTAACTGGGCTTTTACTCTTCTCTTGCTGTGTTTTTCGCCCTAGGTTCCGTAGGTTCGCCGATGCCCAAGAAGTGGAGTGCTTCTCTTTGTCGGAGCCCGCTTTCTCTCCGACACATTTGCCGGTTTGTTCAGTCTGAGACACTCCGTGCGCTTTCTTTTTCCCGAAGAGTTCCCTGCCAGGAGAAGAGATCCTTTGCTGAAGGCTGATAGGTGGGAAAGGCATCTTCGTGCCTGGAAGTGATCTGGACAAAAAAGCGGCGACTTTTCACAGAGCGGGGGAGGAAGAACTGCGCAGAGCGACGCGCGGCGCGCTGCGGGCATCATCCAAAACGCCGCGGAGAGGCTGTAGCGCACCTGCTGTCCACACGGACTGGAGTCTAATGATGCTCTCACACCCCGGATGCTTTATGGCCGAGCCGACAGGAAGGCGTGGCCAAGGGATGCAGCAAACAAAGCCGTGGAAAAAACTAATGATGTCATTTCATAATATCCAGACTACTTTCACATCCGTTTTGTGCTATTTTAATCTCCTCTAAAAGAAGTAAAAAAAAGAAAGCTGAGAGAAACTGTCCAGACTCCCCCGTAAACAACACTTACAGAAGAGTACTCCAAAATATGGAAATCAAATGAGTTAATTCAGGATTAGACTCATCTTTTAAGAATGACTTTTTCTTATCAAACTGATTATATCTTTTCTCAACCTGTAACAGATCCTTATTTTTCCAGGATTTCAATCTCGCCAAGTATTGTCATCTCCATGTCTTTTGCCATTCAAGTTTTATTTAATAGTTCTGGCCAACAAAACAAAACCTTATTTTAGCCCAAGGACTGTTTTGTTCCAGGAATCTGAGCACGACAAGAAAATCCCTCATAACACAAGTCATTTATTCTTCTTTGAAAGAAAATCTGGAGCCTTAATCTTTGGAGAAGGCGCACTATTGTGTAATTTCACTGGGTGTGTGGGATCCCCTGACATAACCGCGGATTAGATGTAATGAAGGGGAATTTAGAGGGACACTTCAGCAGATTGCATAGGTCAGGGTACATCCCCTTCAACCTCAAACTTTAGGAGAAAACCAATCACAGATACAAGCACACTCTGCTCATTCAAAATAATGATTTCATCCTTAAGATGACTTAGAGGGATTTGTTGGGCCCCCTTCAAAACAAGTTAAACAAGCACGGGAACTGGAAGGAGATTTTGTTCATGCTAAGCCAGCGTATTATACAATCATATAATAACTACGTGGGGTTACGCAACATTTAAAATACATTCATATATAATTATGTGGAGCAAATAGTCCAACACCACGAGTCATGCTCTGAAGCTAATTCTGTCGTTTGAAATGATCACATACAGCATAAAAATGTACAAGCAAAAGATGTTACCATATTTAAACCTGCTGGTCCAGGGGACTCCACACATAAAGGGTACCTAGAGATAATGTGAACATCTGCTCCACAAATAGGGGTAGGCAGAGGCAAGGCATCCTCCAGAGGAGGTTGTCATGACAACCACATCCTCAAAGGCTACATGCCGAAGCAATATAGGGAAGGATGCAAGCTGGGTTATTAGGTCATGTCAAAATCACAATGCTCAGGAAAGCGTGATTAACTGGGTCACTGCTACATATGGCCGTAAATCACATTAAAAAAAGAAGCTTTTCTTTTTTGAAAAGCAGTTTAATAGCAGGGGGGTGCAATTGTGTGAAACTGCACGTTTAAGACTGTCAGGCCAGACACAACGCTGCATTTTAATCTCATTAGCTGAAAAGAAAATCCTCAAAAGAGATGTGGGCAATGCACATCTCAGAAACCGCCACAGGAGAAGTAATCACATAACATACCAGAATATCTGAGAGCCATCTCACACAAGTAAGCTTCAAAGACAAGGAAAAAAATGGTTTGGATGTTATTTCCTTTGAATAAGAAAAACATCTATTTAAAATCATTCATGGGTAAGTGAACAAAGCCTTACATGTGTGAATTTGTGCGTTTGGTATAAACATGAAGAGATATTTATATATTAAGGTCTTAAAGCAATTCCTAATGGATAACACAAAGTCAAAATCAGTTCCCTGCACAGTGTTTGCAACTCTTGAAAAAAGGCACACATGGAACATCTTAAATATCTGAAAGAATAAAGGCACAGAAAAAGAGTGTTAGAATCTGATGAAGTTAAATACGTTTAGCTGGAAAAGCAAGAATTCACAGTGTGACAGAAAGTCAAAAGAATGGTAGGAATAACATAAAAACAATATAAATGTATATTTTACAAAATCACTGTTACAGGAGTCATGTTTGGACCAGTTCTCAAAGGAAATTGTGGACTCTTGACTTCTAACTCAGGCATGTTGTGAAGCACTTGATCACTGCATCCCTGTGGAATATAGAAACAAAAACAAGCAATAAAAAAATGATTTGCGTTTAAAAAGCTCAAAAATCAGTATGTAAAAAAAAAACAGAATAATTAACCAAAATAATTTAATTGAAAGAGATGGTGAATCAGAAAAAATGATGCCCGGGTGTAACTGCAATTTGATTCAGGAGTAAACAGACGAATATCACTCATGCGTATGAAATTTGAAACGTCCTTTGAAAGGATGCTTTGGGTGGGGTTCATCATGAATAAGTGAGTCTGTTGTGGCGGGGAAGGACCACACGCTCAGTGTTGGGGGCTCCCTCTCCTCAGGTACATCGAGTTGGAGGATGATGCAATACGAGCAATCACCATGACAACCATAGATGGTTGCCAACTCTGCTTCCCTTAACACAGTTTGTTCTTGCTGTCAGTGTGTTGCTATGCAGACTTCCCATGCGGCCACAGTCTAAAGTCAATGGAGGAGGTGTGAAACCTGTCAAGGTTAAAGGGAGACTGAGTGGGAGGAGGGAAGGTTGGAGGACAGAGAGGAGGTGGGCTCCTCTAAAAGGCTCTGGTCTCCCCACCGCCCCAGTCCCCTATATATTGACAAACAAAATCTAAATTCTTCATGCCTTTTCTGTTTTGTTTTTTTAATCAGGACTTGAAGCTATTTTTGCTTCTCTAAGAAATTGCATGAATAAATGATCAGCCTTTGCGTCATTCCCCCATCTAACATTAGTGTAATGATCTTTCAGCGCTGTGGGAAGTGCACATGCAGCAGGTTTTAAACCTCATTAGGCACTCCTGAAAGGTTATGAACGGCAACAAGGTAAAATACATTAAAGGATCAAGTCCACTGGCCATGTGGTGACATGGCTAGACAGATATAAGTTGGTCTGACCAGAGAGCAGGATGTCTGACACTCCTGTTTTATCTGTCACCTGGTGGTGACAGATAACCGCCAGGTGGTTCTATAAAAACTCTGCCCAAAACAGAAAGCCAAGTGTTCAAATCTTAATTAAATCAAAACGGGATTAAAAATAATAGGCTTACAGAGACACTGAAGAATCTGTGGAACACAATGTAAAGGGAATAAGGAATCAATGACTGATCATCAGGATTCAAACAGTCGTCCCTGGCATGGGCAGTCAAATGTGCACTGCACCAGAGGAATTTGTTTTTTTGGGGGCGCGACATGGCTAGAAGGTCTTTGTCTTCTTGGCTTTGTTTTGTTGTTAGAATTCAGGGTGGGGGAAGGGGAATTCTGGGAGGTTACAGGATGTCTCTCAGCTGTCAGGAAGGATTATAGGGTCACCAAAACACACTTCGTGAGGGGAGGGGGGCTTCATGGGGGACCCTTGGCCACTCAGCAAATGAGGTACAAACCCATTTACAGCTGGACTGAAAAAACAACATCACACCTCCTGTCCAGCTCAAACCACACCAGACAACATTTGAGGATGAATCTATTCCTTTTAAAAAGATCCACTGTGGCAGTACTCAACAGTTAATAAATCAACAGCTAGTAACAAGCTGCCGGGCTTTACACACTGTATAATCTTCTAAGTAAACAACAGAACATGCCATGGAGACTGTCATCCTTTTCTCTCATACAGACATGCCTGTTTCCATTTAATCAAAAATTTGCATTGAGTTTTAACCCTACAGAGCTTACCATAAGCTCATTATGCGCAATGCAAAAGCTAGATTGAAGAAGAAACATTTTGGTAAATCTGTCTAAAGGAGCATTATTACTCGATAAATCATTTCGTTTTGATATTTAGGCCAAAGCAAATCATACCACAGCTAACACCAAGAGGAGATAGATGCAACCAGATGCTATTTGTTTGACAAGGAGAGCCCACACGACTCACAGCGGGGGATTAGGGCCATATGGTGGAGGCAAATAGTTTTAAGAGGTAAATAAAAACATGTTTTCACTGAGGGTCACCGAGCACACCCATGCAGTTTCATAAGTAAACATCACTGAGATAAAGAGACGAGATGAAAAAGCATTAAAGAAATAAAGCCTCCTTCCACAACATTTCAGAGAGCCAATGAGGTTTTGAAAAACAACTTGTTTAGATGAACATAACACATTACACATGAATTTCACCACAACACCAGTCCAAACAAAACAGCGTGTGTGGAATTGTGTTTTCTTACCGAGCAAATGGAATGTAAGAGATGCTATACCTGAAAGAAGGAAAAAAAGAGAAAGGCAATTACTGAATATAACAAAGTTAGATCAAGAGTTCCCTTTAAAAGAAGAAGTTGTCAATTACCGTTTACCATTTGCACATATAGAATTCTTTTCTTTTAGCTCAAATTCGAGCCATTTTAAAATATCGTAATGGATTTGTACAGATTTAAGAGCTCTGATAATGGACCTTACTGGATAAGTGAACAATAGGAATTACTATCTGAAGAACTTCCCATAAAAAAGGAAAGCGTGTTGAAATCCTCCATCAGGTGATCTCTAGAGTCGTTCTTACCAGAGAAAACAAAAACGTCTATGTAAATTAATTGGATTCCCTTTCGTCTTTGGGAACAATAGAAGTTGCTGGCGGCTTGGTTTGAGCAGCAGATAAATACTCTAAACATGACAGCAATCCACCACTCAGTCAGCTCCTGTAGCAGAGTTCAAGCTCCAGAATAAGGACAAGCACTCTGCATTTGTCTCATCTGCAAATGTGAAACAAAAAGTACAAAAACTTCACAACTATCGCTGGCGTTTTGTTTTGTAATCAAACTTCCTTCTTCCAGCCTGTCTCAGTTTCCGATACGGAAGAGTCACTTTCTGATTTCATTACAAGGGCTGAACTTTTCCCATTTCCCAGGGGACCAGTGGTGACATCTCATCACGAACCACAGAGACATCCGAGGGCGTGAGTGGGAGTGCATCATGCCCCCCGGACTGAGAACGCTTGGGATGTGTGATTTGTGGTAACCATGGCGATGCATTTGAGAACGCAGGCGGAACAGAAATGAATGTGCTGAACACAGTATATGTGGAAAAGCAGGTATAAGTGTGATGTGGTCCTGCTCAGCGATGTTCTGACACCATCCAGTTCTGCTGTTTTGCATTTCTGTGCAGTCCCACTAATTATTTATGTAGTTCTGGGTAAACATGTTGTAACTGCTTAACGACATGCTCATACACAGCACTGACAGGATTCATTGGTTCAAAGTTAACCACAATGACTGACGATGTTTCAGTACAAAGGAAAAAAACCTCTTAATGAATATATTCCTTTCTAAAGTGATCAGTTAGCTTGTTATCAGTAAGACTCAAGAGATACATTTAAAGACCCCAAAATACTTTGTTACATACAACCAGCTGATGACTCATACAACCAGCATTCCGCTGGCAGTAGCTTCATCTCACATGTAAACAAAGCTGCCTTTAATGCCCTCAACTTGCCAAAGAGTCACACACTAATCCTGGCGCTACCTCTTTCTTAACAGGCCAAAGATATACTGACCTACTGTATCACCTGGCAACCTGCCTACTCAACTTCTTAGAACAAACCTGGCTCAGGCAGCATTTCAGGCAGATGTCACCGTCTGCCCTAGCAAACTACGACATGTGCAAATCTCTGACACTCGTAAGGTATGCCATTTACTCTCAACTGTGAAAGAATAAAAATAAACGTGAATCACTTTGCTTATTTGAATCTGAGAACAGTATCACTCAAAATATTTAAACAATGGTCATTTCAGCCAAATACAGAAATACAGCAGAATAATTTGTTCAACCTGTGACATTTAATACACGTCAAAGCATGTGGAGCAAAGTTGTCTTTCGTAAAGAGATGGATAGCATTGTGGATGAGCGAGTGTTATTTGTCTACTGTCCCAGAAGTGAGAATGAGATTAGAGAAGCAGGCCACACTTACCAGGTCATCGCCAAAAACTGCAGAATACAGAAGATGATAGCCAATCCCTTTTTATGCCACTGTGTGATAAGACAATTTTTCTTGATTATTTAAGATGCCCCAAGGCAAACACACACACACACATGACTTGTGTAGTTTTGAAGCAATCTTACCCAAAACACTGCACAAAGTGTTAAGATGAGGCAGAGCTGGTGGAAACAGAAAGAAAACATTTATCTTTTTGTATGGTCGTTGAGCGGCCTCTACTAAATGACATCTAATCGGTGTCAAATGGGAAAATGACATTTCTAATCAGGTGTAAAAATAACAGTAAAACATTTACCAGCATAACAATGGTGGCTATCAGTCTTGATGGTTCAAACATGCGTTTCAGCTGTTTTAGTGGTCCCATCAGAAAGCAGGTGCTTTAGAGCCAAAAAACAACAAAAAAGGAACATTAACTGCAGAGTACTTTTCTGTACATTTGGTTATTGCTTCCAGTTCATCATCCATTTAGCCATCACAACCGAGCAGCCATTGCCAGCAATGTCTCTATAATGGAATACAGGTTTAGCCCTCACAAAGTGAGTGGTACCTGCAATGTTCCCACACCGAGTCAAACAGTGGGAGTAACATCCGCTCAGTGACCAAATATGGAAGAAGGATAATGAGCTTCAATATTTCACGCCAAACACTATCATGACACATTTAGAGCCTAGTGAGTGCTGTATGTGTGACGTGAAAAAAGGCTTTCCCAGCTAATGAAGGACACACTTTGAACTGAGTGGGAACAGGGAGTCTGTGAGGTGTCACATCTGTTAGATGAGACACGAGAACTGGTGCGTGTTGACGTAGACTCTTTCTACGACTCATGAGATGGATTTATCCTTGCTTTTTTAAACTCCAACTGCTTAATGCGACAAAAAAACTACACACATAATGCTCACGCTAACTGAGGAGAAAATCTTTTATCTGCTAATCTTCCCCCTCAAAACCACTGATGATGCTTCACTGCCCACCATAGAGCAAAATCTTTTTGAAAAAAGGTGCAGACTTTAGATCATCTTTATCAAACATTTTATGGTGTTTAATGCAGACAGTCAGTTTAACAGCTTTACCATGTTTACATGTATTTTGAAAGTTCAGTAGTCGCAGGACAACTGTTTGTGTCTGGTATCAGGTTAATATACTCAGTCACACATCCTTTTATGGCCCCAATTTGGTCGATATAAACAGGAGGATAAGCCGGCTCCTTCTTTATAAAGAAATTTCTTTGTGATAAAGACAAGATCTGACCTTTCCTTTTTATTCCCCTTTAGTGTGTCACATTAAGTATGTGTTCTGTTACAAATTCAACACTATACACATAATTTTATCAAACAAACTGGGTCAAACAAGAATCTTACCTGGAGAGAGCAGCAATATTCCCTAATGTGTAGAAGACGGCAAAAAGTTTTATACCATTGGGAAGGAACAGCAGAGCTGAGCCCTGGAAAAGGCATTCAAATCAGTTAAAAAAAAGCTACATAGAATGTCAATTCAAGGGTGAAATACAGGAAAAAGCAGCCAAAGCAAGCAGATCAAATTAATCCCGGATATGAATCCAAATGAAGGCTCAGATAGTTTTTCATGGGAAAATCCAAGAATACCAACAGCTGTCTCATGATTTCGCTGCAACATATCTGGCTCCCTCTAGTGCTAAAAGGCATTTTGCTTAAGAACGACAGTTTGGATCCAAGTCAAATGTTATGCACATCTTCTCTGTTTGGAGCAGTTTCCCAAAAACCAATAACATATCAGTGTGAATATAATAGATATTTCACTATATGAATAGTAATTTTATGAAGTTTTCTTCATAATTTACGCTGAGAACAACTTATTCCAAATGCACTTTACATGTTTTACATGCATGGATTTTGTTTGCCCGGGTGCCTCTTCAATCTAAGGTTGTGTTCTAGCGTCAAGGAGGATGATTATGACAGCTTTTAAGCGCAGTGATGAGGGTGTGCTGTCAGACTGAGACCTCCTTTCATTCGATGGAGAGATTAATTGAACATGTGAAATTTAGTGGCTTTTTTTTTTTTTTTTTTACTTTTCTTCTAACTTTAAAATAAACAACAAGGAAAGTCTGAACCACAGCTAATAAGGTTTGGGGTGTTAAGTTATTTGCATTCTCCACATTACCATGATCATAAAAAAAAGACAGATATCATGAAAGTGGCAGCAACACTCACGAGGATGGAGCACAGGATGCCTCCAGCAAAGCATATGACAAACCATTTCACCCTGGTGCTGTAGCTGAGCGTGCTGGCATCAAGGACCTGGAGAGAACAATAGGAGGATGTCAGAGGCCAACTAATGACTTACAGATAGGCTTCAGAAGCTTCCTTCGAAAAAAAAAATTCCACCATGGTGGCTCGAGCCCAGCCAGTGAACTGTACTAACGACACTAACACTGGTTTAGTGTGCGTACTGGTATGTGTAAAAATCACATGTGAACTAGTCTGCAAAGGACCGTTAACGGCACATTACACAACATCAAAACAACACATTAACTTCAAGCCAGCCCCTTACCTCGTCTCTTCCTCACCGTGACAGCGTGCAAAAAGCGTCAACAAATACAATTCATTAACATTAAACACAAACAGAAACTAACAGTTATGTCAAAACAAGGCTTTAAGTAACTAAATACTCTGTTAGCTATTTGCTATGCTTTTAACTTACAGTCAGCATTAACTGTCACTTTGACTAACAGGTAATTCCACAAAAAAGGAACCTCTCCAACATATTTGTTAGTACTGATAAGTGTCCGGATAAGTCTGTCAGAATGCTAATGCTGAGAACACCGAAACATTGAACTTAAGCTAATAAAGCGTATGCCTGAGCAGAAAGTTAGCCATGGCAGCTGTCAAACAGTAACTCGCTTACTTGTGCAGTGAGACCTAACTCCTCATTTTCTTCTTGGCCACTTAAGACACGACGAAGTTTGTCCATTTCTACAAAAAAAAATGCTGTTCAGACTGTTCAGAAGAAAAAAAGCGACGTCCAAATATCTATACAGAAAGTTGTTACCGTTTTTTTCGACAAACGCTGACAAACAGTTGCTGCAAGTGTGGTTTCCTGATTCCCTGGACGACGTGCTGGCGAAAAACTGACTTCTAATCAGTTTAATCGCAGTCTGTGTCGACTCGTTGGCCGGAGAGGCAGAACTCAGATCAGCTGTTCAACTTCCTGTCAGCAATTTACTTCTAATAAAAGACGGCACTAAAGTTTTATCATTGCTATAAAAATCAGCCATATTTGAGCGTTGGTCATTCGGTTTAGATAAAGCAATTTAGTGATGTCTTGGTCTCCAATCATAAGGATGTAATTGTTAAATTTACGCCATAGATTTAGTGACCTATTCTCAACGGGTGTCTGTAACATTGTCGCCACCTAGTGGGAATGTCTTGACAGACAAACTTCTTCATAAATTGACAGCATGTAGAAAATGAACGTCCAACTGCACAGCGCCCCCTGCTGTACCGGATGTGTCCCATCAGGGCTTTTGTAAATCTGGTTCACAAAAACCCAGACATATATTGTCTGATTATTTGTTACAATACAGTATCTCTCAGAAAGCAAGGGACTGCTGTATAAATCACTGTCTACCTAAGATTGTGGTCTGGTCAAATCGTTCTGTCATATCTTATGAAGTGCTCCACTCGAAAATTGTTATGACCACTGACACACATTTTTCTTCATCTTTCACCTTTGTCTTTCTTTTAGTTAGGCATTGTGTGGGCTTTCTCATTACCTTTGATCCAAATGTGGTCTGGAATCCAACAGAAATGGGTACCTCTGCCTCTTCTTTACGAAGTCAAACAAAGTAGCAGTATAATCAGAGCAATAGAATCAGGGCTAACTTATTGAGACCCCTTCATCCATTGTTGCCCTGAACTTATTGAAACTATGTCTTCTGTATATATACAGATATTATGTGTTTAATTCTTGGGTAGATCAAAACATCCACACACTTCTGCTCCAACATGGTTACTCTCTGGAACTTTATGCTCAAACTAAACATTTGCACAGAGTTATTACAATTCTGTTGTGACCTTGAACCATAGTACCAACATAATTGCTATTACTTTGCTCAAATAGCAGTTGAGTTTATTGCACAGGGGGAAAAAAAGCATGAGCCGATACAAGGCTTTAGCCAAATTGAATATATTGGAAAAAAAACATATTCTTTCTCTCTAGGTATACAGTCTAACTTCTCCTTTATATTTGTATGAATTCACTCAACAATCGACCTGTGGGTTGTTTCAAAGAATACTCCCCACGATTGAACGTACAATAATCCAAACTATGCGTGGTTAGTTTTAGTAGCTTATCTGTTGTACCCATGCTATTATTTTTTTTGCATTTTTTAGAATTCCATGTACAATGTGAGCATTCTCGTAAGCCCCAAAATATAATTCAAATAAGAGAGTAACACATTGAAAATGTGTGCTTGTTTTGATAAGCTGATAAGATGCACACATTTAACAATTTTCAAGTGTCAGATTTAAAGAAGTGTTTTGAGTTTCCATTAGCCATGTAAGTGCAAAGGCCACAATGTCATTTAAGAATAGGATATTCTTTCATAATAAAACAATTGTCAAAACATTTTTTTCTTTCAAGGCTGTGTAATTCTGCTTTCCCTTTATCAAGAGTGTGGCTGGCGCCACAAAAGATGCAATTATGAGAAGCTTTAGACTTTGGGTCACAATGTCCTCCAGAGGGACACAGTCACTCACTTGGGGGTTTCTGTGTATTTAAATAATTTTCTAAATTACCCACCAACACAATTAAGGAACACAAAATATGACTAAATCCAGTGTAGGCAATGTTGAAAAGTCTTTATAGTTTTTACAAACACAATCTTATGATCATTTACTGCTTACATCTTCTTCATACTACTACAGACGCATTATCAACTGGACTACAGCTGAACAGAAACTGGAGCACAATCGACGCGGTGGTGCTTAAATTAATAATTTGACAAGCAATATTGTGCACACCATTCATCTGTGCCAAACATGTATTAATACTTTCACTTTTTCACAATATGAATATGCAAGCTTAAGCTGCCTGATAAGCTGCTGAGTGGGATTCTCCTCCGCGTGGCTCCAGTGGCTTTAAGGGAGGACCAGTTATCTTCATGAACGGCAGTGAATGAACAGCGCGCCTGCTCTACCTTCGGACGTTTTCCAACTCCAAAAACAATGTGGACGCCACTGCCGGGATTCATGCTCCTATCAGCGTTCTTCTTTCGTGGATACACAGGCTTCGTGTGTCCGACAATCTGCCTATGTTCCGCCGTAACAATCAGATGTAGCGTTTTAACCGATGCAATAAGGCAAAATGAATCAAGACGGTAAGTTCAATGCAGATGTCATTTTTTAGGACAGTTGCAATATGGGCTGCTAAATGATGAAGTAGATTAACTGTTAGAAAAATTCCCTTTCAAGATCATCCGTGCGTAATTACGCACAGAGCGTGGTTTGCTTCTTGGATCCACTCTGAAATTAAAATTCGAAGCCGTTCCCTTTAAATGTATTTAAAAGGTTTAACGTGTTTTATGACATTATCATAAAACTAGATGTGTTTAATTTAGTTATATTTCTTGGTGGCTGCTCCTAGAGTTGCAAAAGCCCACATAAAGATGTTTCTGTTAATCTGATTCTTCAACAGCAGGTAGCAACGTCAATTACTCTTATGCTGGAGATGTAGCCAAACTGTCTGAGGGATACCGTCAAAAGAGGTTAATTCTCTGCAATAACTTATTATGTTCAACAATAATAACTCTTAAATGTAGTAAGTTTTGTATTTTATTAACTGTTTTTATTTTAAGGCCTCTTCATGTTCTTGCCTATCTTTTCCAATACACTAACCATGACTGTGCTTTCTGTTTTCACCACTTCAGTGTCAAAGGTGATGATGGCAATTTAGATAAGAAACAACCTTGTTTATCCAGGAGAAAGTACCCACCTGCCTGCATTTTAAAATGACAAGAAAAAAATAGATCCCCTCTTTTGACTGAAGTGTCACAGCATGAGTTGAACTTAATTACTTGTGAAGTGTATGTCAAGTTGGCCTGAGGAGGTTAAAGCACACAGTACCCTCACAAACTACATAGTTACCTCCATCGGAGATCACTGGGACAATTCAGCTGACTCTCGCAAACCTTGAAGGTGGAGAATCTTGATCTCTACTCTGGAAAATCACACAACCTTGAATCTCCTCTGATAAGTCCCTGTAAATATCAAGGATAGCAGTTTCATGATGGGTTCAAATGGCACCAACATCACAGATGAAATCCAGAATCTTTGTGTTTGGTCATTTGTGGATTTACTGAACATAATTTTTTATGTTTTTTTCCATTACTTACCAAACTCTTTTCAAACAGGTAAAACTGGTGCTAAGCGACCGGCCAAAGGATTTAATGTGTACAGTATATATTACATGGTGAAACATTTCTCTTTTTGTCCTGGGTAGGTTTCCTCATCACCTGACTTTGAAAACAATTTCAAGTCATTTCTTTGAGGGATCGAGAGTTCAGAGGATGTAGGTATCACATAGCTTCCATTATGATGTAATAGTGCAATATGTAATAGTGCCACTCGTTCAACTAGAGTTAGACTTAAAATAATCCATTAATTGTAATTATAACACATCATAAAACACCTTTTTGTTCTCACAGCTTTTGTTGCAGTTGCTATTCATTCAATTTTGCAAGAGCTTAGAATGAAGTGTGGTTTTAGAACACTGAAATACAATCTGCTTTTCTTTGAATGTTACAGCTTCACTTTAAGTTGCTTTTTCTGTTGAATCCAGTGAGATTGCTCAGAGTGTGACCCTGGAAACCATTGAAGCCTTAGCATTTAACAACCTTCTCAACCTTTCTGAAATGTAAGTATTTTCTGTTTTTTTGTTAATGAATTATAGTCACTGTTACTGCTGCATGGCTTCACTCATGTTTTATTTTGTCTCCAGCTTCATCAAGAACACAAAGAGCCTGGTGCACATTGACAGAAGGGCTTTTAACAACCTACCAAAACTGCACTACTTGTGAGGGAAATTAGAAATATGTACAGTAGTTTGAGTATTCAAAACAATGAAAAAAAGCATTCGTCACTTATGAAATATATTAAAAATTAGTTTGATAAATGAAAAGCTTTTTTCCCCTTGGTTTTACACGAAAGATACAACACTTTTTCTTGCCCTTACAGGAGCATCTCGAATACTGGCATAACAGTTTTCCCAGACCTTACATCAATCAATTCACTTGAGTCAGATTTCATCTTGTGAGTATGTCACTTAAAGATGTGGAGCCTTAAATCAGGTTGTTTGCGAATGACACAACGTGTGGCTTTGAAACATTCCCTGGGGGTCAACATTCCACAACAATTCAGTTGGCCCTACTCTGAACAGTACTTCTCTTACAGGGATGTATGTGATAACCTTTATCTGCATGAAGTACCTCCAAACACATTTACTGGGATGACTAAAGGATATGTTACTATGTAAGAGGAGCTGCATTTCCTTTTTCTTTTAGTTTTGCCATTTATGAAAAAAGATACTTTAAATGTACTTTTTTCTTTATTTGAAATCACAGGTACCTGTACAACAATGGCATCAGAGAAATACATAATTATGCCTTCAATGGGACAAAGATTGATAAGCTGTATGTTTTATTTTTTTTACAATTAAACATTTTCAGAAAGAAATAGCTTGAAACATTTACAAATAATACTCAAACCCTCCCAATATCTTGTGTTTAGGGTATTGAAGAACAATCAAAACCTCAGAGAGATCCACAGAGATGCTTTTAAAGGAGCCACAGGACCAGGAGTCCTGTAGGTTTGATTGTATTCCTCTATCTCAAAAAGTCATATCTTGCTAAATCTTTTCAGTTGAATTCTTTCATATCTTTGTTTTCACAGGGATGTCTCAGCAACCGCATTGACAGAATTGCCATCACAGGGGCTGGAGTCAGTTCTGGTGTTGTCAGCTCAGTCAGCGTATGCTTTAAAAAGTTTGCCTCTGAAGGGACTCAGGAGTCTCAGAGAGGCTCATCTCACCTACAACAGCCACTGCTGCTCGCTGCTGAACCCCCACAGGTGACACTGACTGTCACATTCACAGTATTTTTAGCAAATTCCTTTTCCCATCACAGGGACTTCAAGAGATTTTTATCTCTGCATGGCTGTGGCTCCTTCTCAGTCATGTGAAGGAGAAGCATAGGAAGTGTAGGAATAAGAAGATTGCAAATTGGTGTGTCCTCAGTTCAAGAAAAAGGTAGCTAATAGGAATGAGGGTTCAAACTGAGAAAAAAGTTTCCATTTCATTTGATTGCATGATGAAAAAGCTAAAGAATTTCATAATATTTGTCTGACCTGAAATGGGGCCATTGAAATGACATCAAATGTATGGTTGGAGAAAAGAAGAGGTAGGATCAAATAGATACAGAAATGCTAAAAAACCTGAGTCAAGACATGACAGAATCTCATCCTTTTACCTGGTTTAACAACATTTTTGGCAAGCTGTGGTTTAAAAAAGTAGGAACTGTGTAGGGTCCCAAAGGAAGAGATTATCTTTCATTAGGTGATTGCATGAAAAATCTGTTCACTGGTAGTTGGTAGATGTTATTTTCTCATTTTTTTTGTGCAGAGATTTGCAAATCAGTCCCGCAAGGAAGAATAACTCTGCAATGTGTGCTGAGGACCATCCATCAGTAAGGTATGGCTTTTGTTGAAGTTGGTACCTTAGGCTTCTGGTTGCAAGAACTCATGAAAGGTTTAATGCAGCCCCTTGGATCTAAATTTATCTTAAGTTATAAACTCTAAGTTCTGCTTTCTGTAATTTAGGTCAAATTTCCTGGTAAGAATTGTCTCTCTTTTTTATCTAAAAACAGGCTTCAGCGTGTGATTGGAGATTCAGCTGATTCGGCTCTTATGGACACAACACCGCTTTTGTCAGAAGCTGACTTTGACGAGGATTACAGTTTTCAACACCTGAATTACTACTATCCAGAACTGGACATGTGTGAGACGCAACCAATAATCTGCACACCGGAGGAAGATGCTTTCAATCCCTGTGAGGACATCGCAGGATTTGGTTTTCTCAGAGTGGCCATTTGGGTCATCAATATTCTGGCCATTGCAGGCAACCTGATGGTGCTCCTGGTTTGCATTACCAGCCGGAACAAGCTGACGGTGCCTCGCTTCCTCATTTGCCACTTGGCTTTTGCTGACCTGTGCATTGGGGTCTACCTCCTGGTGATAGCCACAGTAGACCTACGCACACGTGGTCACTACAGCCAGCACGCCATTGAATGGCAGACAGGGCCTGGATGTAGCGCTGCAGGCTTCCTGTCTATGTTTGGTGGGGAGCTGTCAGTCTACACCCTCTCCACCCTCACCTTAGAGCGGTGGCACACCATCACCAACGCCCTGCACGTTGAACGCCAGCTGGTGCTTACGCAAGCAGCAGGTATAATGGCAGCTGGTTGGCTCATCTGTCTGGGAATGGGCATGTTACCTCTGGTCGGAGTGAGCAGCTACACCAAAGTAAGCATGTGCTTACCCATGGACATAGAGACTCCCCTAGCTCAAGCCTTCATCATTATCGTCCTGCTCCTCAACGTGAGTGCCTTCATCGTTGTATGTGTTTGCTACGTGCTGATCTATCTGGCTATAAAAAACCCAGAGTTACCCGAAAGGAGTGCCGATACCAGGATTGCAAAGCGCATGGCTGTGCTGATCTTCACAGATTTTCTCTGCATGGCACCCATCTCCTTCTTTGCCATCTCTGCCGCCTTCAAGTTCCCCCTCATTACGGTTACCAACGCTAAGATTCTGCTGGTCCTCTTCTTCCCCATCAATTCCTGTGCCAACCCCTTCCTTTATGCTATCTTCACCAAGGCTTTTAGAAAGGACACTTTTCAGCTCTTGACTGCTATGGGCTGCTGCAAAAACAAGGCCAGCATTTATCGTATGAAGGCCTACTGCTCAGAGAAAGCAATAAAAAGCCATGTGGATATCAATAATAAGGGGTCCCACAAAGCAGTGTGTCTGGCCACCATCACACACAAGGACTGTCACCCAACCAAGGAAGGGGGGCTACACCTAAATAAAGGAGAAATGCAGAACTCTTGATTTGGGACAAAGGGATCCGGGAGGGAAAATATGCTGAATTTGTAGGAAGTTGTTCAGTTGTAGTCATAGCTATATCATGTTAGGACTGTAAAAGGTCACATCTGCTTTTCATAACCCTTTATCATCCTCACAGAGAAAAATGTATCCACAACGTTACCGAAAAAATATATTCAATGAAAAAGATGATAAGAATCACAGCGGTTCACAAATTGCTGCATTTTAATTTCCAGATGAAAGTCCCTAAATGGAAGTAATGGTATACTATTAATTGTCTTTGGGAATTTTATCTCTAAACCCAGCAAACATGCACAAACGTCTCAATAAGATATCATTTTGTCATAAAAAATGTGCTCATACAAATGAGAGAGGACATTAAAGGGTTAGGAAGGAACAGGAGTGAAATGATTTATCACAATGGACTGAAAGTCCTTGAAATCCTTGAAGTGCCCAAAGAACGTCTAAACTTGATACAAACATAACTGAAATCCCCACTTAGCCTTTGAATGCGCTACAACAGAAATGCCTGTAAACGATTTTGTAAACGATGTGTTGTATTTATTTTTATTCTGGCGGGTCGTGGGGACAAAAAGTAAGAACAGGATTTGACCACGTGGTGGAGGAGTTGGACTCGGGTCGTCTGCAGGCTGCTGATGTGTACATAGTGATATTACAAGGAAGGTTGAGATGTGTTTATTTGTTATGCAATACAGACAATACCATCAGATGAGACGTTAGGATTCTTTTTTTCTTTTTTGGAGAGGAAAAACGGGGTGCTGTTGGGCGGCTAACGCTTTCCTTGCAGCGTCTCTTGTTGTGATGCTGTTCAGGCTGAGATGTGTCCCGCCTCCCCGGGATCCCTCCTGTGACGTACCCAAACAGTAAACTTTTCTCCCCAGTTATGCAGCCTTGTGTCAACAACCTCACACGATCCGTGGAGAAGTCGCAGAAGTGGGACTGTTTCGAGGCAGCCTGCGCACATTTCTCAGGCTTTCGGGCTCCGGTGGGGGACAGAAAACAGCGAGTGACGTGTCCACATTGGGACAGGTCTCGCCAAAGATGCCAAACTCTTGCTGGCCTGGAGTTTTTCTCCCGGCAATAGCTGTTGCCATTGTTGTGGGAGGTTCGGTCAGTGGTAAGTAAAGTGTTTTCTTTAGGGGCTCATGTTTTCCCGATCTTCCTTCGTGCCCTTTAAAGTTGGGTCTCTCCTCAGTTTAGCGGCTCTGTGCACGACAGCCTGCGTCAGGGATCGCTTACAAAGCCCGTTTTTTTTTTAACTGTTGGAAGACTTAATTTGGTGGAACTGATTAGACTTTGTCTGTAAATGATAGAATTAACCCGACTTTATTTACATGACTACTTTCATAGGCTCCAGAGGCTCAAAGGGGTTCAAAGATCGCAGATAAGCTCAAACTGTGCCAGCACAAGTGTGTATAGGAGTGCTAAAATGAGTAAAATAGCCCAGACTGAAGCTCCCCACGGATTTTGTTTTAAAATCTGGAAATTGTAAAGTGATTTAAAAAGTAGACTGCTGTTTGTGTCATATGTGCGGCCGATGTTTACTAAAGCACCATCTGGATCAGTTTGAGGGGAAATCTCCCATTTGACATCACAACCACAGACTTTACATTTGATAAAAGCAGTTATTGGAACATTTTCACATTTTCTGTGGGTGCATATTGGCTTATATTGGTTTGATTGGTGTATGTTTTGTGCATTTTTGGCAAAACAGAATATAAAAACCTTAAACATTGTATACAATTGATTCCCTACTAGACCCCCATTCTAAAATATCCTTTTCTGAATACAAAAAAAGACTAGGTTCTTGCTCAGTTAAGTTTGTTTAAGGTTTCAAAGCATTCCTGTCAGATTTTTTGTTGTGAGTTGTTTAGCTTTAGTCAGTTCTCTTTTTCACTGAGCATCCCACTGATGTTTCTTTTCATTTGGTTACAACTTAACTTTTCTCTCTGGGAACAGCTCAACATTCCGGTAGCCTCTTTCCTCGTCCAAGGAGGACCTCAGAGCCAGTTGTGATTCCACGCCACGTTTCTCCACATTATCTGAGCAGAGACGAGCTCAGACGGCTACGCTTCAAGCCCACTATTCGCTCCATCCAGCTGTCAGAGGGTCATGAGGCTAAATTCAACTGCTCCATCGATATCCCCGATGCCAGGCTGGACCCCTCCATCACCTGGAAGAAAAACGGCGAGGACCTGCCCACAAACATTCATGTCGTGATCAATGAGCTCAGGACTATTGGGGATGGGGTCACGACTCTCCTCTCAACCGTTATGTATGTAACACTTTTCTCTGTGATGTGAAAACAAAGAAGAAGAACACACATAGTGATGTGCTTTTATGTTTGATATTGCAGCATAGATCAGGTGCAGAGAATGGATGCTGGAGAGTATCGTTGCACTCTGAGTATAGGTAACGAGATGAAACAGTCCCAGCCGGTCGTTCTAGAGGTTGAAGGTGAGTTTCAGGGAGGCGATAGCATGGAAGGCTTCTCCACGTACATTTGAATCCTATTTTGTAATTTTCTATCATCTATCCTCAGGTCTGCCAACATTTACTCAGCACCCAGAGGATGTGAATGTAACAAGAGACACACCTTTCACCCTATCCTGCGCGGCAGAAGGACCTCCAGGACCTGTTCAGATCCGCTGGCTCCGGGATGGAGTACATGATAGTGATTTGCATAACTCACCAAGCAGCTTTTCTGTCTCAGGTAAGTTCTTTACCAGGAAGTCCGGTCTTTGCTGTCCCTTAGTTTTGTGCACACGACACATTTCACAGTTATCTCCCCCATTATAGTTACATTCCCTGTCTGTTCCTGTTGATTGTTAAAAAGGGCTGAAGGGGGGTGTAATTTCTTTCTGTTCTTTTCACACATTGTATAATGAATGATCATAATGTAACTGTAAAAGCACAGTGAAACAGTCAAAAAGGAAGCTGAGGATGAACTTTGTGGTTTATCACATTTTTTTTCCTCTATTACCCTAGTTACTGGAAAAGCCAAAGATTTTTTCCATTAAGTTTTTCTAACACTGAAGTAAAAAGATTTATTTATCCATCTACTTTTTTATGAGAAGATAATTCTAGGGGTCATGTAATGAAAATAGCAACCAATGAGACCAATAGTTATTTTAATTCTGACTTTTACCAGTACGAAACATTTGAACATTGATGAACTGAAAAGATGTTCACATCGTTGCTGGTAACAAAGCGTGGTGTTTGTCTGTCTCAGTGGTTTCTATTCTGCCTCATCTCTGCTGCCTCAGCGTCCGTACCTTGCTTACTTCAGTAAGTTTTGTCATCATGTCGCATTGCTGAATGGTGTTGCACAGCAGTCATTCATGCATAGTCAGTTCTTTTTGTAGCACTGTTCAACCAGATGCTCAGTGAATCCCAGAAAGGAAATAAAAAACTTGTAAAAAAATGAGACACATTTCCAAAAGAATGATTGCATTGATGTTGAAAGTCATAACCTTAGGGCAACAGAAACTTTTTTATGGACTATGTGAGCTATGTGTTCATTAGTAAGTTTAAGGACTACCATATGCAAGATGTTGTTGTTTCTAAGTAGCTTGAAGCAAGACAAGCTGTTTTAACTCATTGTAACAAACCAGAAAGGCAAAAAGGCTACAAAATACGTTTATGCTTTTAAAAGAATAACTACATAAAGTGGCTCTGGAACCCTTTTATGATTTGTTAAAATATCCTGAAAGATATTTATTATTTCTCCAGTTGCTACTTAATATCATGCTATTGCCAATCAAGTGGGAAAAGTAAGTTAACACAGTTTGAGTGTAAACCCCCTGAAGTTAATGTCAGCATTATATAAGCATTAGAAATAGGCACGTGCCAAAATGCTTATGCGTTCAGAGTAATTGCTGTGGACAGGATCTTGGACAGGATCTCTTCGTGCATTTAGTGAAGCTGACGGAACTTCTGTATGACGTGTATGAGACTGCACCGAGGGATGGAAAAGTGTAGCACAGGCTACAGAGATCAGCAGTGATGCTATTTCTTCAATGTGTCTTTAAATTAGTGTTTGTTATCTCTCTATACAAGCTAGGAAATACACCAATGTCGTATATCATGGCAGCCATGTTTCTAACTTCACTGGGATGACTGACATGCAGGGTTGCTCCTGGTATTTGTTTGACTGCATTATTTTTTTTGTAAGTGCTTTGTTTTTCTTGCTTAGACAGCTCTCTTCAAGTATGCAAACATTTATTATAGGAAGCATGACTTCTGCTCTGGGTGCTCTAACCCTTCATTTGGAGCTTGCTGCAGGCCAAGCATTCTTCCTAAAGCCAGTGAGTGGCCCAGTGAGCGGCAATGCAGTTTGAAACTGAAGGGGTTAAAGGTTCAGAGCTGCGCTTTGGTCCAGCATGTGCAAGGACCCTGGTGGTGAGGGGATGGGGGGGGGGGGCTGCACAGGGAGTCTGTTCGGGGGTTGGATCTGCACACAAAGGCTTTATTCACAGCACGGCCCATTACCCAGCAGGGAGGGCTGAGCACAGGCCGGCAGGGTAGAGGCAGAGCTCTGTGCCGGACCAAATATTGGCATAACACTGAAGTGAGAACCCACTTCTCTGCATGCTCAACTCATGTGTAGTGGGAGTCTTTATGGCCCTACGGAAAGAAAAGTTGGACAAGTGATATTGGGTTTTGTTGTTGCAATTAATGCCTTATCTTCTATAGTTTTAATCACATTTTCAAATGCTGGAAAAAGGAATTATTTAAGTAACATAAATGGTTAGTAGTACTCAGTTCGAGGTGTGGGATGCTTTAACGTGCAGCATGTTTTTCTCAAATGCCTAAAGTGAAGTCTGCTAGGCTTATTTTTGGTCTTGGAGATATTTCGGATATGTCTTGGACTATTCCTCATTTGCACTTTTGAGTGTTTAGAAGGTCACAAGCTCACCCACCTAACAAAAAGTTGTTTGACCTGGCACAAGGCTCAACAGATGAAAGCCAGTTTTTAATGTCTTCTGTTCTCCAAACCAGTTTCACAAAAACAGTTTCAATTGAACCACTTAAAGATCAGCTGAATAATGTTGTACATACAGGACAGTGCAGCAAGTAGCTTAAGAAAGATCCAGCTCCTCAAGATGAAGATGAAACAGCCCTGCATCTAAAATAAGGTTTTCCCATATGTAGATGGACAAAGTGATAGATAGATAAATAGTGAATCCAAACAGGGAACACATCTTTAGAGATAGCATGTTGGTTTTTGTCACCACATATAAACAAACATATAGCATAGATTGAATTATTTTGCCATGCTTAGATGTCCAATTTTAACATGAAAAATAAAAAACAAAGGAACTCTTGGAGCATGAAAGTCCCCGAGATTTGAAATGTTGCTTCCTTGTTCTGTAAACTGCACAGAGTAATTTGTGGCTAAATTTGTTCCCTGAATAGAATGAAAAAAGGCTTTTGGAAGCTGGACAAACCCCAAACCTTATAATTGGAGGGTGCTGGACTCGCATAACAGGACTTCCAGATTGTGTATGTTGGTTGCTCCAGTCGGTGTAGAACTCAGTCCCAGTTTCCATATTACTGGCCAACCCATTCCATTTTTTTGTTGTACTTCCTTCCCACTACATGGAACAAAAGCAGAAATGACAGTTGTTGACCTTGATCTGTTTCCCTTTTCACAAAATAACTTGACTTTAAAATAATAATTGATTTTTATTGGGCCAAGACCTGCCACACGAGGAAATCCACTCATTATTTCTCCCAAAAGTGTTGCAAATTAGAAAAAAGATTATTCTCAATTTCTCCTTAAGTCAGTTTGTTTTGTCCCACGGACTGTATCTGCTACTGTGTAAATGTTGCAAAGTTTAAGCAGTAGCCACATGGAGTAGTCAACAACTTGTACACAGCAATGTTGATAAGGCAGGAGTTGACAGTTCTCTCACTCTGTATGAGGGAATATTGCCTCAAAGTGGATTTCTTGACTTGATTCCAACAGTGGTTTAGCCATCTGTTTGCCACGAGTTTAAACTGAGGCAAGTGGTAATTACATTTGCACCTGTTGTCTGATATTGGATTTGCACAGTTCTCTTCATTTTGTGGTTTTGATTATATGTGTTAATTGGAAAGTAATCCATATAGTTGATGATTCATTCTAATTTCTAAAAAGGGTTTTATTCAGGTGAGTGTACTGTAATCGGTGTGTTGGTGTAAAGCGATGCAGCTGTACGTCTTGTTGATGTGATAATATTCCACAAACAAAACTTCCTGAGTCATTTCCAGTCATCTCTCACGGGCTGTTTTGCGATAAGCTTTGTGGAAAGGTTTCCGAGATGGAGACGCTGGAAAACAGAGCACAAAAGGGACATTATGTCACAGATGTCTCGGTCCTACTCTAGCTTGGCTGATCTGGGGCTGTTGAAAGAAGGAAATTGTGTGTTCAGGAAAAGAGGCCCGGAAAAAGGATTGTTACTACAGTGCATCATATTGCAGAGGCTCAATTTGAGCTTACTGCATGAGGCACAGTAGTCCGAACTTTTCAGGTGTAATGAAAGGGTGAGTCATGTGTTTTTTCCATGATCTTCAGGACGTCTGTGCTTTACCTCTTTGTTGAGGCTGACGTGGCTCTTTTCGGTCAAAATCACCTTTGGCACAGAGAGAAATCTGTTTCTTTGGGCATAATTCAGACAATGTTTCTTTTTGGATTGTCGGGTTTCGCAGAGTACTGCAGTGAAATAGCACCTAGATCCAGCTTTGCATGTGCTACTTTATCAAGCCAATGCTTCATTTGTAGGTGTGGACAAGTACACCCGGTTCAGCTGTGAGGCTCTCAACAGAAAAGGTGTCACCACATCAAGAGAGGCAAATGTCAACATCAAAGGTAAAAAAAAACACCTTTTTTTGTCTTGCAGCTCCAACTTTGGGATGATTAAAAAATGTTTTGATGATGTTTGAAGTTCTCCCCAGTCCCATGTCTGCTGTTACCGTAACTGAGAGGCAGGCCAATAAGTTGATGTTGAAATGGACTCCTGGACATGACGGCTTCTCTCCACTGACGAGGTGCCACATCAGGGTAAGTCCATTTCTGAACTTTCAAGGCTACTGTTCCATGGCTTCAGATCAATCACCTGCCCTTTGCTCCTTTTAAGGTGAAAGAGGTGAGTCAGAGGAAAGGGGAAGTGATGACCACCAGACTCGTCAACGTCACAGTGCCACCGTTCAATTGTGAAGTCCCTGGGCTGAAGGCCATGACGTGGTACAACATGAGTGTTTCCTGTAGCAACGAGGTGGGGGCCTCTGTTGTCTCCATGTGGATCCAGAGCAACACCACCGAAGGAGGTGTGTCAATATCTAACCAGTATTGGGAGTGTTTTCAGAAATATTTTGGCAGTTGCAACAGATTCATGACTGAGATGGGAAAACAAGACAAAAACATATCCATTACAGTTAAGATTGGCAAATGTTGAGCCTGCATTTGATTTATGACCTTGTGTTTGCTTCACAAAGCCTCTGTGTTATGTCTTTGCCTCATTATCTCATCGTTCTTGTTTAGTTTTCAGTATTGCAACAGTATGTAATTAACCAACTGCTTTGCCATGCAAAATGTGCATCATGTAAGCTTTCTTGCAAGAGCAGAGTGTAATAACTGGAATTTTAAAACTCTGTACAAATATTGTACATGCTCTGCTCACTGAAATTCCCTATTTTAGAAAAATGTGGTGTTCACGGAATCATTTGTTTTCTTGATGGGTCATTCAGGAAATGGGAGTGGCTTCATAGAAAACACAAAGTCCATTCTGGGTGGAGACGCTCTTAGTTTCCTTCCTATACCCACCACAGGGGATATATTGAAGCATTTGATACACTATTTCAGGAAGTGACCACATTCCAAACTGTAATCAAAGATTTCAATTAAATCTGTCTTTTCTCTTGGGTTCAGTTTTGGTTACATTTTTGTGACTTTTCCATGAGTGTCACTAAAGGCTTACTCCTTTTTCCTTGTTTATTATCATGTTCACAGTGCCATCAGTTTATCCTCAAAATGTGACTGTCCAGCTGAATGAATCAGGGCTGGTGATCAAATGGAAGCCTCCACCAGATGATAAATTAAATGGCATCCTGCGTGGTTACGATGTTCTTGTGAGACGGGGTTCAGATCACAAAAAGGTGAGCCTGTCCGCTGTGGTGTGAACACAGACGAAGCTGTGTTGATGTGTCATTCTGGACGCTTCATCAGCACATTCCCATAGAGAGCATTCAGAGCACCATGTCCAAGGAAAGTTAGTCAGCCACAGCAGCTCAACGGTTCATTGTCACACTTGTCATCAAATGGAAGCCTCCACTAGATATGACATCCTGAATGTCACATGGTCATTTGTGAGGATGCCAATTTACATTAGAAAATAGACGCTTTGTTAGCAGATGTTGTTCTTGATTATATCATCGAAATAACACTATTAACATATGTCTGACTGAAAATTGTTTGGCTTGTGTCAGTAGTGAAAAGTGCAGCTCTGAAGAGTTCAGTATCGACAAAAAACGGAGTCTCGAACAGAACAAATGTTATTCACAAGAAGTGTATTGTAAATGTATTCTGTAATGAATCTTTTATTATAGTAATAATTTATTGGCATCAAATTCACAGTGCATTGATGTACGTGAATGTGCATATTCATCCTTCTCTGTCAGCAGTTAGGCACAATAGTAGGTTTCCTGTTTGTCCGTTATATGCTGTAGTTAAAGGAAGCTGCTGGTGTGAAACTGGTCATCAGAAGTTTTCTCCATTTTGTACATGGGCATGAGTCACTGAAGTGAATGGAATGTGAATACAATGGATTGTGTACCTTAGACCCAAATATCCTAAGTGTCCAGTCAGTTAGGGATGTCTTTACAATGGGGGTGACTGGAAATATGAGTGATAGTCCATTCTTTAAATTCACATGCTTTTATGAAATTTGTTGAGAAGTTCAGATAAAAAAATCAGTTATTGTACAGGATATATGAAGATTAGTTTTATATTTGAAGTCATGGGATTGTTGTTTTAACTATGACTTTCATCCCCAAAAGACAACCACATAATGTCCTGTGTAAAATGTCCTGTGCGCTATCTATCATGGGTTCAGCATCTTTGTCAGCACTTTGTTAAAGCAAAGCAGCCCCGGATTGTGTCTTATGTGATTGTGAAATCCAGGGTCATGTCTGTCACATGTCCCTTCACATCCAGCACATGGGCTTGTTCAGAAAGTATGTGTTCTTCCCTTTTTTTTGGTTTCATTACGTACAATTATCCTCTGTATTTACTGTATTTAGTCAACTATGATTTCCCAGATAGGGAAGAGCTATAGTGGAAGTCCCTCTATAACATAATCGTTATCTGGCCATCAATGTTTTTTTATTTATTTGTTGTATTAAATGGAAAGAAAGATACATAATAGAGGAATCAGAAAGTTGTTGAGCTTGCTTTTGTCCAACATCTTTTTCTAAATATGTTTTTCCACCAGACAGTCCCCGACATGACCTACATGGTACTTTAGAATTCAGTTTACAATGTTTTTTCATGTCACTGGCTTTTTTCCACACAAAGATCATGATTAAACTGAACATAAATCCTCTCTGTTGTTGTCTGGTATTTCAGGTCCACACTGATTCCACCACATTAGTGGTAGCTTTGAAGGAATTCAACACAACCTACAGCGTGGAGGTGGCTGCATGCACACAGGCAGGGAGCGGCATGGTCAGCCCACGGGTCTGGTTCTTTGTGCCAGAGGACAGTAAGCTGCTCTTTTGTTTTACCTCTCATCTCGTGATCTGTGAGCTGTTAACCTTTTGAACTGGTTAGGACATAATCATGTGAAAAGAAAATATGACATCATTTAAATCTAAGGTTTCAGGGTTAAAAATCCCTGGTACATTGTATGATTTTCTCCAGATCTTAAAACGAGTTACCATTTCATTCAAATAATGACATTTGGCACATTTCAATGGTTCATCATTTGTCTAAAGACAAACAAAGCCAAAACTGGATGCACTGCATGGAAAAACTAGTTGTACCTTCACTGCTTCCATAAAAATTCTTAGAGCAAGTAGCAGCCAGATTCTGGGACTAAATATTCTTGATTTATCGGTTTTTGTCACCTGTAAGGTAACCTGCATGTATTTACTGTAGATGCTGGGAGGGACAGGGAGAATCCATTGAGAGCTCTTGGGCACACAGAGACAACATGCACACACCTTACAGAAAATCCCCAGATAGGATATAAACCTCAAATTCTCTCACGATGAGACGATTGTGTCCCACCACACTACCTTATGAAAAAAAAACACATAACATCAGCACTGATGGCTTAAACTAGCTGTCAGTGCAGCGGTGAAGAGTTGAATATTTAGGGGTGTTTCACAACCTCAGGATGTGGTTACCCTGCAGTCATTGAAAGGACCATATCTGGCCATCTGTCTGATAGACAACGCTTGAATGAAACTGGGTCAGTTGAGCTGCCTCATTTGAAATCACTGGGACAGTGAAAAATGTCATACAAATAATATTGGTGCCAAAGGTCATTTGACAAGTTATGTAGTACATTTAGCCGTTGTTTCCAGTTTTTCTTAAATTCATAATAAAATAGTGGATTATATGTGGTTCATCTCAGACTGTGTACACCTATTCTGAAAACCTGGTAAGGACCAAATGATTTTTAATATGATGTCCTCTACTAAACAATGCAGTTTTCCATGTTTATGTTTTACTAAATTTAACATAAAAACATTTTTTGTTCATGTTCAGTGTGTTTTGATTGTTAATTGTTGGGTAGCACGTTTGGCAAAATGAAAAACATCTGTTCTTCTTCAGCCACTCGTGCATACTGGGATCATAAATAAACATAAATTAAGGGTGAAACATGGAACATATTTCATAGTTATATCACCGCAACATTCATTTTGTGGTAAAAACGTAACAAACTTATGGAATGAAATTTGCATAACTTATTCTAAGCATATTATTGATGTCTTAACTTATGGAATACTCTCTTTTTTAATATTTTGCTCTCATGTTTCAGAATCAGCGGTGACCCCTTCGTCCAGTCCTGACTTCGGGGTTACATACTCGGTCTCGGTTGTGCTGGCTGTGGCGTGTGCCATCTGTCTTGTGTTTCTTATCTTCTTGGGGATGCTGTGTTTACGCAACAGGACTTCCTACTCTTGTTTTGGGTATGCTTACAATTACCAGCTAAATACCAGCGATGCTCCATTTACCTTTGAAGTGGTCAGAAGTCTGTGTATTGGTAGCCCAGCAGTCTTTACCGTGATATAAATGCAAGAAAGATGTGGTGGTGAGGCTCTTACTGGAAGCTTGTTAAATGTAGTTTGCCTCAGAAGTTGGACTTTTGAAAATAAAAACATCCAGCTTCAGTTAATAAACTGCCTTTTCTTCCTCTTACTCATTGCCATCTACACTGGAATCTGATAATAGCTGTGCAGCTGTTATTTCTTTATTACAGAGGCTGTGACTCATCTGGAATGTGTCACAGGCTGCTGCAGAGATTTTAAAAACAGCTTATGACATAATCAAAGCCAGGATCCACAGAAAAAGTTTTCCTTCCACCTATTTGACCTCTCTGGCCATCTCTTTCATTGGAAATCTACTTTAGTGTGTTTTTTTTTTAACTACTCTCCAAATGCCTTTAGTAAAGCATTTTTTCCCTTTTCCTTGTCTCCCCCTACAGCCAGGAGTTTGGAGGTGGAGAAAAGCCTGTCATCCAGTACTCAAACCAGAGATCCTACAATCGATCAGCAGTGGCGATAACACGTATGTTCATAAATATAATCTGGGGCCGAATTACATTTGCATCCATATTAAATATTGGTATATTTTTGGAATAAATTGCTGTCACTCTTTTCTGCAGTTGGAAACCTCGGTGTAAGCGACGAACTCCAGACAAAACTTCAGGATGTGATGATCATGAGGAACTTGCTGACAATTGGGAAAGTTCTTGGAGAGGGTGAGAAAGCGGTCTCTCTTCTGTCACTCACACGGACTGAAATATTTATACAAAACACACATTGCTAAATGTTTGGTTTTATTTCTCACCAGGTGAATTTGGCTCAGTGGTCGAAGGACATTTAAAACAACTTGATGGTTTTACAGAGAAAGTTGCTGTGAAGACAATGAAATGTGAGACTTGTGCTTTTTCCAGACATAGTCATAACCTTCAAAACAAATAGGACAAATGTCTAACTTTCTTATTCAACAGTGGAACACTTCTCTCAAAGGGAGATCGAAGAGTTCCTCAACGAAGCCGCCTGCATGAAAGATTTCGATCATCCTAATGTCATCAAACTCCTTGGTAGGATAAATTAACAGTTGACAGGTCAGTGCTCTTTTTTCATTAACTCATCATTTGTCTGAATTGTCTTGTCCTCTTTAGGTGTGTGCTTAGAAACTGGCTCTGGACATTTTCCAAAACCCATGGTCATCCTCCCTTTTATGAAGTATGGAGATTTACACAGCTTCCTGCTGCGCACGCGTCTCGGAGAGAGTCCGATGGTAAGCTGTCTGCCTCGTCTTTCTGTAGTTATATTAAAGATTGAATCGATATATTTCAACTGTATTGTGCTTTGTGTGTTTTGGTTTTACACAGTTCCTACCCACTCAGACACTCCTGAAATTCATGGTTGATATCGCTTTAGGAATGGAGTATCTCAGTGGTCGTAACTTTCTGCATCGTGACCTGGCAGCACGCAACTGCATGTAGGCTGCTTTATTTTTGGGCTTTATTTGCTCCTGACTTTACGAAAATAAGAGTCAACCTTCACATACACCTTGAGGAAAACCTACATTTATAGAATATGTTTTATTAGAAAATAGGTTTATCTGGTATATTCTTCCTTTTTTGCCATTCTGTGGTTTTTCTTACAGGTTGCGTGATGACATGACAGTTTGTGTGGCAGACTTTGGGTTATCTAAGAAGATCTATAGTGGGGATTACTACAGGCAGGGCAGAATAGCCAAAATGCCTGTAAAATGGATTGCTGTGGAAAGTCTGGCAGACAGAGTTTTTACTGTAAAGAGTGATGTGGTAAGTACAAACAGCACATTTTCCTGAATAAAAAGTCCCTGAAATACCCTGATCCCTATGTGAAAGAAGAATTGACTCCTTGTGTATACTCTCTGTTTCTCTTATTGATTTCCATTCAACCACTTCCTTTAAACATTGTTTTAGATTTTTTTTTTTTTACATTAAAGTTATAATTTATTAATGTTTAATTGGTTTGAGGCTTTTAACCTTCTGCTGTTTTTCCTCTAAAAGTTAATCTAAGAGTAAATCCATTACATTTACGTTTTAGGTTTAAATACATTTTTACTATGCGTTTTTGGCAGAAAAGAAGATAATCATGCAGTATCCTTCAAATTGTCTTTTTTTTAGTATTGTACGTCAACTGAAAATAAATCTGAAAAAGAAAGTAAACAACAAGAAACTACCTTTTATCCTTTTGATTATTCATGCCACTCCTATTCCTTTGATCATTTTCATATTTTCTGCATGTCTTTTGCTGTAGAAAACACAATCTTCTTATTTTGTATTATGTAGTGGGCGTTTGGCATTACCATGTGGGAAATTGCTACACGAGGCATGACGCCATACCCTGGGGTACAGAACCACGAGATTTATGACCACCTTGTTGAAGGCCACAGACTGAAACAACCGCCAGACTGCTTGGATGAATTGTGAGTGTTCCTTCTTCCTGACATGAATATAGAATTGGTATACAATTAGATAATATATTCGGGCCAATGCTTGAAGTTGTGGGATGTCACAAGGGCAAGTCGTGTATGATGTTATTTCGTGGGTGCTGAAAACTCCTTTACCTGATAATATGCAGGTGTACAATAATAACAGTGATGCCTTTGTTATGCCGAGAGTGACTTTTAATATTAGTTATACAGCTCTGATGAGAAGTAAGTATCAGTGTAGTCCTTTCAAATTTTACTTAGCAATATTTATTTCTTCAAAAGAAAAATAAATAATGTATTGTTGTTTAAATACCATGGAATTAAAACTTTAAACATAGTCATAAAGGTTTTACATGTAGTTACTTAGCTAAAAATATGCATTTAAACTTAAAAGAACATTAATTCTCAAATTTACACTGAAAATAGGCATAAGCTATGGTTAGAAATTAAGCAGTGGTGGAATGAGCACTTAGAGCTTTGGTTCCACTTTTCAACAAGCTGGTACATAGCCCTTTCTCTCTTTCGTATCAAAATACTAATAGAAAACAACTGCCTTTTTCACTTCTCACAATTTTCCACTCCAGCTGTCTATAAGATATTTTTTAAATACTTTACACACTTGCTCCTACCTGATATTTCCTCAAATAAGAAAAGTGTTGGTTTCATAGCAAAACCGAAAATAGTTGTATCCTCTATCGCATCTTTGCAGGTATGAGATCATGTTCAGCTGCTGGAGAGCCGATCCGGTGGACCGACCCTTGTTTCCCCAGCTGCGGGAAATGTTGGAAAAGCTTGCTGAGAAGCTTCCAGAGAGTTCCAGCAGAGAGGACATTATTTACATTAACACCAGCTTTCCCGAAGAAGACCCTGATGGGATGGCCTTTGATGCAGAACAGCAAGCATTGACCTCTTTCCCCTCCTGCAGCCATCACGCTGCGGAAAACACAGTAGTTACTGCCGACGTTCACGGGCGCCTGGAGGATGAAGATGAGGAGGGCAGTGATCGTTACGTAGTGGTTATCTCCACTAATTCTTCTGTCAGATCTCCTACAATGGACACTCCTCTTTTGTCAGGGCATTCGTCAAGTCAAGCGAATGGCGATACGGTTACAGATGTCACGATAATGGACCACAGCTCAAGCAGCACTTCGTTACTGCTATAACATGCCATTCCTATCCATTAGGACAGACCTGTGACAAAACTCTCACCTATATTCCTCAGTACTAACGGTTTTGCCTTGTTGGACTGGGGGCACCTTCCTCTGTCCTCTTATGGATGTTTTGTTGAATTGTATATATACAGATTACACTTTATATGGCCAGCTTACATTTCATTGTTGGAAATATTTATTGTGTGTCGATATTAAACATTGTAATGCACATGTACCATAAGCTTCAGACACACTGAGCTGTGAAACCATTTATTACTTGGAATTATTTGTTGTGATGTAAATATAGATATGTACAGGGCATTTATAAAATTGTGTTGTGAAAATAAAAGTTGACTCCCTGAAACCTGAATTGTATTTGAAAATGGGGGTTCTTTGATCTGTTACCATTACAATTAATGGAGGTTTGGGAAGGGGAAACGACTCAAGTCCTCCACTTAAATGGAAGATAAAGCCAGCAGTGTATTAACAGAGGAGCATTAAACTCTTACATGGAGATATATACATGGAATATATGTACATTAATGCAGTAAATGGTATTGTGCAATATCGAAAAAATAAATGTTGTGTTTACGTCAATACATGTCTGAATAGTGTGACTCCCAGTTTTACAGTTATTAAAGATTTCTAATAATGATGGATCCAAAGCATCATCCAAAGCACCAATTCAACAAAGTTTACCCTGTGCTGTGCAATGGCCCACAGACCCAGGTCAGGACGGTGAATTCTATCAGTTCTTGGCTTGTGTCTTCCATTATTTTCCAGTACTGGTTTTGTCCATCTTGGTCAACCTGAGCTTCAGGGGGAAAGTTATGTTGTGTTTGTTTTGATTCCCTAACAAACACAGTGAGTTCACTTGAGTCGGCCTGTTTGTGTGACGGGGAACCGATGGTGGTTTTCTTGCTATCTGGAGTTGTAGCAAGGCTATTTGGCATTTAGTTATGCCTTAGGAATATGAGGCTTACTCTTCACCCAAATAGGATGCACTGGAGTGTAGCTGATAGGGCAGGTAGGACATCATCGCTGGCTCGAATGAATAAACTTATCCTGGTCATCTCCATCACTCATGCCCTTCCAGCTGATGTTTTTTTCTTTCAATGGTCTCCAACCTTGACCATTGACATTGAGAGGTAATTTTAAATTACACAAAAATGTTACATTTAGGTTACTAAAAGTAAATAAATACAAATAATGCAGTTCTTGCAAAGAATGTAGTCAAGTAATGTTAAAACTATGATCATTTTCAGTTATGAAAATGATACAGGTAAATATAATTTGCTGTCAATGTCCTTATTTTTTTCCAGTATAAGATGCTTATCAAAGGCCGTGGGCATATTCCTTTAATTTTTTATATACAACGCTTATTTTAGATTCCTAATTCATTGTGGTTCTTGTTATTATGTCCCCGTAAACAATTGTAACACAGATGACGTTGGACGGTCACATTCTTGGCTGTTGCGTTCAGGGCGCGTCCAGCTCGGGAGTGTTGTAACCCCTAACAAACATGGCAGCTGCGACAAGGATGCGGACGTGGAGCTGTTCGACTAGAGGAGCTCTCTGTCCTTGGCTGTTCGTTTTTGTAATCTTTCTCAATTCTTTAAGTGAAATTGTCGCCGCGCCAGAGACTGGGGTTTGGCAAATTGTGGTTGTTAACGTAAGTATCAGCTGAAAACACTCCAGGAATCTGCAGCAGTCCTAGCTGCTGCTAGCCACGATAGCCTTGTTATGGTAGCTGTCTCACAGCTGTGACTGTGGTGACAGTTGGCTAACCTGTCCGGAATCAATGGTCATTTACCGTTTATTTGCACCGTTTGTTAATATGTAGTAACCAAAAGATGGGCTGTTATTTAGCCAATTAGCTGTTAGCCTTGCGTTGAATGGGTAAAATGCATCATAAGATAAGCTGACGGCTAGCTAGTTTAGGATGAACAGCACCAAATGGAAAATACTCGTTTGCTCGCTGCTGTGAGAAACCTTGGTGTTTGAACTCTCAGCTCAGTATTTGAGTTTGACTTCTGTTGCCAAACATTAACACACTGAAAGTCTGACTTCAGTAGTTCTTGTAAAGTGCAGCCTCTTTTGTCCATAGATTTGAAGGTGCAGTTCTTAGATTTACCCAGGTACAAGTGCAAATCCTTGATCAATAATTTAGTTGCTGTGGAGTTTCAGTTTCCATCCACCCTCTCTGTGGTGGTTGTTTTTGTATACACTGGTTAGAAACTGCCCAGATGGCAAACTCACTCACGTTTGAATGTTCTTAGTATGTACAACTGTACAGTTAGCTGTTTATAATACAATTCCCTATCAACAGACCATACACCCTAACATATTTCATCAGTTAGCCAAAGTAATTATAGATGAGTGAAATCCCACATTGTACTGTCACTCAACTTTTTTGCTATTTTGCAGACATCAAGACCACTTCTACTAAAGAAAGTTATGTTTAAGGACACTGATATTGAAATGAAAGGTGAGACGTAATTAAATTCAGTCCTTGACTTATCACTGTCTGTTTTCTGTTTTTTGTTTAAAAAACAAAATGTGAAAAAGCGTCTATCTTCTTGTTCTAGTTGTATATTCTGATTGTCCTGAAGAGATGACCTTCACTATCCACTGGCTTTTAAAATACTGTCCGTGTTACAATGAATTCAACAATGTCGAAGTAAGTACAAGTGCCTCATATTACTCTATATGTCACTAGGTTGTTTGACCACATGTGGTTTTCAGTTGTGATTGTGACTGTCTGTAGGAAATATACGAGATGACACCTTTGAATCGTGGGGAGAGTCTGGATCCAAACCCTCTTGGAAAAGGAGAATACATTGAACACAGACACAGTCCAATAACATGTAACGGGGGAGTGCACTCGTTTCCAATGCTTCGAGTGGGTTTGCCAGGCCGATTTTCGTATCACTTCATATTTGTAGCATCCATTGCATCTTAACATCCTTGACCTGTCTGTGTTTTTCAGAAAGCCAAGGCAGAACCACGTCCACTCGGCCCTCCCTTCCAGAGTGACGATCCAGTAAGAAAACATAAAGACTTTTTGAAAACACAAACTAGTCATTTAAGGCACCTGTGCTGTGGAGCAACCAAACAATGCTTTCTGTGCATTGCATCTCCTGTTAATCTGGTATTTGTGGTTTCTTCATTGTGCGGTAGGATGAAAATCCGGCTAAATGGATGACTGAGGAGTATGATAGCAGCGGCACGGCGAGTAATGGCAGCATGAGCGTGAAAGACAACGTGATAGCCACCACGTGGCGAGATGGGCCATACCTGCTGGTCGTTAAGATTGCATCTAGCAAAGAGGAGGCAAACTTGAATTTAACAGGTGAGAAGTTTGATGCTTGATTTGGATTCCTGGTGCCCTGCTCAGATATCTATGAAAGATATATTTTCACTTTTGAAAATAGATCCATTTGTTAGTTACGCTAATGTGTTTATCAAATGTTGTTCCTGTTCGGAAACCCAGCATCACATTATATCTGTGACCTTTTTCTTTTTTCTTGTCCCCAGTTAATGTTGTCATGAGAGGCAGCCACGGCTACATTTCGGTTACAGAATGGCCTCTTATGATTGTAAGTAAATTACTTATGAGAACATTTTTGGGACTTCTTAAAAAAAAAAGAAAAAAAAAAAAAACTTAAAGCATTAGATCTGTGTGCAAGACCTGTGTGCAATTATGTCCTGACTGTTTACAGTGTGATATGGAGTTTAGAGATGTGAAAAACTTTACAACAACTTCTCCATGGAGTTAGTCTCCATCAAGCTGTCACCATTTCGGGTGTGAACAAAGAACATTTGGTGGCATTGAGGCCTCCAGATCATTTTGTGGGTTGTTCTGCTGTTAGAGTTTTTTCTTAGCCGTTTTAGCATGGTCCGCTCCTGCCCTGGTGCTGGAGGCTGCGACTGTGCAAATGAGTAATATGTTAGATCAGAGGGAGGAGGCAATGCCACAGTAACATTTGAAAGCCACTGCAAGTTTCTGCTGCAGAGCGTTGCACTGTAAGGGACTAAACAAAATTGCTTGCGTTGTTTTAATCTTTTGGAGTATTGACGTCTGCATGACTTTTAGAGCTGACGTTCCCAAAGTCCACCTTCTACTGTTACAGTTTTACCTCCAATTTCAAACAGTTTGTTAGCCATTTGGTTAAATTTTCTATTGCATTTTTTACACCATGGTGTCCTACGTTTAAGATAGGAGGGAAAAAACACAATCCTCTCTTCTAACGTTAGTAGTGGTGGAATCTGTGGGAGTTTTACACTGACGTTCTGCTAACTGCTAGACTGAACTTTAACAACAATAGAAAATAAATACAATGTTTTTAGGTAGAGTTGTGAGATTTTCTCTCCACTTGGTGAACAGTAACTGCTTCCATATGTGATTTGTTTGAGCACTAATTCCTCAATGTCTGTTTGTAGTTCTACATGGTAATGTGCATAGTGTACATCCTGTACGCCCTGCTGTGGTTTATCTGGGCAGCCTGCTACTGGAAAGATCTGCTGAGGATCCAGTTCTGGATAGCAGGGGTCATATTCCTTGGGATGGTGGAGAAGGCGGTCTTCTGTGCAGAATATGAAAACACTAACACTGTTGGTTCTGCTTGTGGGTATTTTCAGACGGACACATATTACACAGTAAACTTTTTACACTTTAAATATGGAATTTTGATAAATGTTTTGTTACTTCAGCTCCAGGCTTGTTGATCTTTGCCGAGTTGGTCTCTGCACTCAAAAGGACTTTGGCTCGATTACTGGTCATCATCGTCAGTCTGGGCTATGGCATCGTGAAGTATGTGGTTTATATCCGTCCATGCAAACGGGTTTAATGAGCTGATTTCTAAACTTTTCACATTACCAAACAAACTTAGCATTCATCTTTTTTATTTATTGTTTTTATCTCTCACTTTTTAGGCCTCGATTGGGATCTGTGATGCACAGAGTTGTAGGGCTTGGTATCCTCTACTTTTCCTTTGCTAGCATTGAGGGTGTCCTGAGGATTACAGGGGTGAGTTCTGTTCTGTCTTTTCATTCCTGAAATAATTTCATGTCGTGTTACTAAATTACAATCAGGACATGAAGTTGCTTAAGTCTGTTGTTTTTCAAATTAAATTTCAAAGCTCTTCAGGATTTTCTAGATTGTTTTAGACTGGCCATTACATTTTCTGTTGTGTTTTTTTTCTTTAAAACTTGTTGTGGTTATCAAAAATCAAGGGTCGAGACAATGGTCCAGCTCTCATTACAGCAATTGTTCTGGCTGTGTTTGATTCCTGCGCCATCTGGTTTATATCCTTTAAGTCTACCACAAGAATAAGTAGTTGTTATTTATCTTCCACTTGGTGATTGTACCTATATTTAGTTGCTGCTTTTTATTTGTAATCTCCCATCCTATCTGTGATTTACCCCCTCCCACCTTCCTCCCCACGCATCTTTCTCCCCTCTTTCTGTGTGCTTTGGTCCTGCTCCTGCTCGGTTATCCTGTCCAGGCAAAAGACTCTGACTTGGCCCTGCTGGCCAACATTCCCTTGGCACTGCTTGATTCCTCTTTATGCTGGTGGATATCCTTTTTTGCACCTTTCCCTGAATGGTTCCCTTCTGCTATCCTCTACACATTAGCATAAAGAGATGGTGAACAGTAGCTCACTTTCCCCTTCAATCAACCTGAACTCTGAGGAAATTACTGCACAACAATTATGTGTTCTGTCCTGACTTGGGTGCAAACTATTTTTGTTCTTTCTAAGTTAATGATTCAATCCATGTTTATAAACAAGTTAAACACTGAATGACTTCCTAAGGCTATTTTTGGATGATACAATCATTATCCACAATCACTATATCCGCAGGCTGAGCTTCTAAAATAGAAAGAAAAAACATGTTGATAAGATCTAAAATGTTTGGAATCTTCTATAGACCTGAGCTCACTTCTTTAAATAGGACAGGCATCAGTGCACAGCTAAAAATCCAGCCTTTGGGATTCTGTGTTGTCGTTTTGAAATCCTTATCAGATTCATACAGGTTGGAGCAGAATATGACGCAGGAAAAAAAAAAAGAATACGCTGCAGGAAAGGCAAACAAATCTAACAGTTTTTCTTCAAATGAGAACATGTTTTTGTAGTGTGAAAGTTAATGCATTCCAAAGCAGTTCAAGTATTTGTACGGTCATATTAAATCCATAAATAGAAAAAGCTTTCAGTTCTTACAGCATTGGGTTTTCTCACTTCCCTTCCACAGTGAGGTCAAAGAACATGGTCTCTAACATGACCTGTAACAGCCTTTTTTTTGTTTTTTTGCTAAATATTTATCATTGCAACCATTTTTTTTCCTTAGAACTGATGTCAGTTAAAAATGATTCTAAGTATTTCATTAGTAAATCACTGCAAAGTAATTTACTAATATAAAACAGTGTACATTTAGCTTCAAATGTCATCCTCAGAATTGACCACTTAAAGCGCCCTTATTTGTTTGTTTTTTTATTCCAATTGATTCATTGATTAAATTCTTGAATTAGGGTGAATAAATATGTAATATTTAGTTTCAGTGAAATGCCTGCTGTTTGTTTCCCTTGACTGCTGCTGCTAACATCTTTGTCAGCCTTGCACAAACCATCAAAACCTTAAAGCTGAGGAGAAACCCTGTGAAGTTGTCCCTCTACAGGCACTTTACAAATACACTGATATTTGCTGTAATAGGTAAGTCATGATTTAACAGTGCAGATCAAACCTATTGGACTTTTTTCATGCTGTCACAGGAGATTCAGCCCCTGCCTCTTCTCTTTCAGCTTCCATTATTTTTCTGGGTTGGATGACAAAAAAGTTTCGATTTGCAGAATGCCAGTCTGTGAGTATGACATGGCACACTAATCGTTGTGTCGTTAATTTAAATGACTTATTTATTTGATTAAGGAAGTAAAAACAAAGTACATGTTCTATTAAGGACTGGATTGAAGTGTGGGTAGAAGATGCTTTCTGGAGGTTCTTGTTCTCCGTCATCCTGCTTGTCATAATGTTTTTATGGCGGCCGTCTGCAAACAACCAAAGGTAGGTTGTGCGGGCGGGATCTTTGATCCAGGATCCTGTTGGATGCAGAATGAATATTTTTTTTTATATAACTACAGGTATGCGTTCACACCTCTCATTGACGACTCTGATGATGAGGAGATTGAAGAGTTCATTTCCTCTGCAAACCTTGGTACTGTAACACAAAGGGACAATCCCCCAGAGTACAAAGTATTTAAGTCTTAATTTCAATGTTGTCCTTTTTCTGTATTTCAGCTGATGGTATAAAACTGAGAACAGCAAAAAGTGAGACAAACGGCACAGCGAGGCCCACAGAAACGAACCCGGTGAGAACAATGTTCTGTGAAAGTTTGTTCTATTAAGCAGCTACAATAAGAGCAACCAAGGTTCTCTGTCCACACGTCTCCTTTCAGCAGGTGGCAGTATTTGCTCTGACTATTTTTCTCTGCTTGTCTAGGATGAAGACTTGAAATGGGTGGAGGATAACATTCCTAGCTCTCTAACGGATGTGTAAGCATAGTTTTAATGGACAGGATGATTCAAGCATCATGGTATAAACACAAAGACCACATGTGATTTTAACAGTTTCTCTTCCTCCCTTTGTCACCTCAGGGCTCTTCCAGTATTGCTTGACTCCGATGAGGTAAAAAACAACAACTGTTTTTTCTTTTTAACCAATAAAATGTTGGTTAATGAATGAGTGGAGAGAGTAGAAAACATCACCAACATATCCAAGTGTGTTTCTGATTTTGTCAGACTTCTGTTATTAACTGCAGCTGTTGTCAGCAATTTGTAATTATTTTGTCCTTCACCAGCTAGTAAGGAACAGTTTGATTTGGTGGAGTCCCCCTCTTCACCTCTTCACCTTTAAAGACTCTGTTACTGCTGTCACAGTGTGTCCATCTGTTCTGTGAAGCACTGGTTCAGTCTGCTCTGTTTGGTGGAATCTGAGCTGCATATTTGTTCCACTGTCTTCTCTAAAGCTCACTGGTTCATTGTTTTGTTTCTTTTCTCAGAGCGCACCAGAAGATTTAAGGGATTTATGCTACTTTTGTGGCCAAGTGATGTCCTGTTTAGTCTCACATGAGATATTGTATGTTGTGGAATCACTGAAGCAGCCTAAAAAAAATCCAACAGATCTATTAACCTGTGGATGAACCAGTCCTGCCCATGAAATAACCTTGATATAACTGGTCAGGTTAGAGCCGAGCTCCTGGAGAAGGGGGCGCCACATTTTAAAGAGCAGAAATGCATTACTTCTCTCTCTGACTTTTTAAACATGGAATGGAAAATTAGCAAAGTGTCTCTATCTATAGCTGGATAGGAAAAAAACAACCCCCAAAACAGTGACTTAAAGGATAACAATCGGCCAATGGTAAATTGTCCCTTCTCCAGTCTAAATAATTGCAGGCAAAAGCACTCTGAGGGGATTTCTGCTTTAGAAAAAATACTTAATAATGTTTTCATTTTATTTCCCAGGAAATCATGACGACCAAGTATGAGATGTCAAAGCTTGACTGAAGGTAAACGTCTCCAACCATCTGCCGACATGAAGGGAGAACATAGCAGCTGTCCCTGACTCTGAAGCGGGGTTTTCTCTGGGATTTCCTGGCAAATGGTTCTGGAGTGCCATTTCATTTTTCAGCAGATAGGACTTCAAAAGGTGATGCAGAGAGCAGTTTCATGGGAGCCTCCGTCGATTTTCTTCATAATTAAGTATTCTACAAGAGAGAGACTTTTTTCTGATCAGCAGGTTCACAATTTCCCTCACTGGACCAGTTTTGATCTTCCCAAAGAAAGTGTTTTTTTATATAAAGTTTTCACTTCTGTTATGTCTCTAGAAATTCATTTATCTGGCAGATCTAATGGGCATTCATAATACCATACTCCCAAATACACATGATATGTCTCCCTGATTAAACTTTGTGTTATTGATGATGCATAAGATGAAAATGAAATGTTTCTTCCAGTAAATAACTTAAAAAAATATTTATTAAAGTTAGTTTTCAGTTAAAAGTCAGATAGTTTTACTAAAGTGATTACTGGTTCACTTCAGCCAGCCAATCACACACAGAGTTATGAATTTAAGGTTTCCAGAAGGTGGGAATTCAGTAAGCTGTATGCATTTCTTCTATGTGACTCCGAATGTCAGATGCACATTTTTTTTTTTTTTATACCAGAATTCAAATCTGGAAAAAAGTCACTGTTTCAAACAGAAACACTGTAACCCCGAATATCTGCTCTTAATGCACTTTGGAGATCAAAGCTGTGCCTACATGTCATTCCGGTGTGAGGCCTCATCCATTCAGTTGTTGAGAACAATATGAATTAAAGTGTCTTTCATGTCTCAGATGGAAGTCCGTCGTCCTAAACCTTAGTGAATGTGTGTGAAAGGGAGAGGGACAACAAATTCTTTCAAACTGAATTTAAATGTAGATGGGTTAGTTCAGTAGTGGAAAATGAGGGTTTTTACTGTCATGTCCTCAAACTGCTGTATGTCTATGGGTGAGCAGTTTTTGTGTTTTCTGAAATAAGAAGCAATATATGCTGTATGTCTCTTTTTGCAGGGTGTTTTTGTTATTTATTATTTTCCTTTTTCCAAGTGTACTTAAGTTAATGCCTGTTTTTACCCGTGTTTACTTGAAGTGTGCTTCCATCTTCAAACAGCACTGTTTTTTGTCACCTTCCTGGCAATATTTGCATTCTGTATGATTAAATCATGTTTTTGGTTTCAGAGACATCATACGATGTCTTTGCATGTTCTTTGAGTTAAGTCTTAATCATTTTTAGTCTGAATATGTTCTTTTTTTTTTTTAAGTGGTTGGCCTGCTGTTGTCAGTATGCGTATGGAGCTGGTACACTATCATCCTTGTACGTGTTGTTTTGAATAAATGTCACAGCAAAACTAGTAACTTTTGTCTGTTTGTCTTGGCAATCCCACGTCAGAACACATGTTGTAGGTTATGTGGTTAGCAGAGGCCGATCACCTAAATAGGATTATACTGTTCCTGTTGTGTGTGTGTGTGTGTGTTGGAAGCCTGGAGATATTTGTGCTAATGATGGCAAACGGCTGCTCTGTTATATAAAACTGTAGGCACCTGCAATTGACCTCGGGCGTATTTATAAAGATGGATATTAACGGATTCTTATTTCATAATTCATTAAAAGAGAAGTGTTTGGATTACTTTTTCCCTAACAGATGACCTGAGGAACTAGGTTGGAACTTTTTTTCTACCATTGCTGTTTTCATTCTCTAAAATTTATATGACTACTAGAAGAGCTCAGCACTCTGTAGTTGTCCCCAACAATATCTTTGAACCGGAGAAAGGATGTAAAATGAGAACTTCAAACAGCCCAAAACAAGTTTGAAACAAAGCAATGTGCAGACTCACACTATGGTTATCAATACCTCAAAGGCATGTAGTCATTTTGAGGTAACTTCAGGGAATGTGTTTTGATTCTCACCATTCATGTCCATCTGAAAGCACGCAACTCCTCTGGCCCCTTTTATTGCAATGTAAACCCCTGGATGGAGACTTGTGAGGAAAACCCAGTAAAGTAAGTTTACAGAACATGTGCGATGAACATTAACCTTCATTTTTCCCTTTAGCAAACAGACACACTAAGTTATCCTTTTAAAAATAACTGCTGGCTTTGCTCCTACTGATCTCAGATGAAAAAAATACTATGAAACTCCTTTTGTTTCCAAGACATGTGGGACAAACTTTGACTTACCGTATATTGCTTGTGAACTTTTCCTTCAGGGGTTACATTACTGAACACACATTCTTCTTTTGCTGCCTTTCATCCTTTCATTGAGAAAACCCTTTGTAGCCATCCAGCCTTCATCTATCAGTTTCCCATGGGTTTGCATTTCAGTCCATCAAATTCACTCCCATTGGCTGCTGAATGAAAACAAGCACCACCAGGACATTTTATAGCCTGCTGTTCAGCATTAAAAAAGGTAGTTCTAACAAATACTCAAATGTTGGACTGACTTTATTTCAGCAAAGTTGAGACAATTAAAATTCCAGATAAATCGTGCATTGGCAAGTTTGCCAAATCAGCATTGATTTTGAATATACTGGGACTATTCTTGGGTAATATACAGAATATGAAACATAGAGGAGATTAGATCAGGTACAGTAGTGCAGCTACTGTTTCAAAAACGTCCTTATATGACTTAAATGAGGCAAGCTTGTAGAAAAACTCGTCTAGAGTATATGATCAGTGATAATGTTGCATATAGTATGTTATACTGTTAAAAAAAAGACAGAAAAGAAAAACAAAACAGCATTTCCAATAAATTAGAGCTCCAGGAGCACTAATGTTAATGGGGATGTTTCATCATATCAGGGTGCTTCATTCCAGCCTGGGCCTGAACACTGAATGAGCACATGCCATAATTAAGATGTCATACCGGCCCCACAAACTGTGCAACCAATTTTTGAAAAGGGTTTGAACAGACAGTTGGTGTGAATTTGTGCCTGTTGTGCCCTCTTCCTTGTTCCTCTTTGGGTTACAGTCTACAGTTCCTCTGTCCTCCATGCTTGCTCTCAGAAATTGTACGGTGAGACTAGGACATGGACCCTTGCCGCGTGCTTGGCCTGGAAAGTGCGGTCGCTGTACTCAGACATGTCCACGTCCACGCTGATCTCCTGGGGCCCACGCAGCTGCTGCACCAGGATCAGCTCACCCGTCTGTCTGTCCGAGCGCTGCATGACGAAGATGCCCCGGGAGTTTCCCCCTGCTATGCCGAACCGTAGACTGTCTGGCCCGGTGCGGCCAGGCGCGGTAGCTGTCGCCATGCGGAAAAGCGTGGCAGGGGTCTGCAGGTTGGAGGGCAGGGACAGGTAGTGGAAAGACACGGTCTTGGGAGCCTGGTGGCAGGAGCGGCTGTCCATGGGGCAGGGGTTTCTCTCACACTGGCTGCAGGAAGCATGTATGACACAGTAAGTAACTCAATGCATGGGTATATAGATGTTTTGATACACTAGGTCATTTAACATTTACAGAAAACTCATCACAAATGAATTCATGAGGGAGAAAGCTTTGAAGTGTTTCTTATGACTAAAGCAAAGAGATCAACTGAATTTCACATGTATAATATCTATATGTGTACTTAAATACTGAATACTGTGACCCAGCAAATGTTTTACTCATTCCCCTGTTCTCCTTCTCATTAGGGCTATTAATCATTTTGAACTATTTGCCATAAAAACACCATGTACAATTGAAATCACACTGGCGCGTTTCCACTCACAAGGGAGATGTCTTAACGTAGCTGATGTTGCCATGAGAGCGTGGGCACTCTGGGTTGACACACTGAAAGCCGCCCCCCATGTTTATACAAGTTGTCCCTTGACTACAGTTGTGCTTTCGGCTTAAACATTCATCCACATCTGGAAGACAAAACAGAAAAGGCGTGTAAGACTGAGAAGTGTGGAGAGGAACGTGCCAGACAGAATCTGAGCTTCCGAGTTACCGCAAACCGAGCAGGGCTTGGTTTTGTCCTAAATATCCTTGTGTGGTCTAATAAGGTTAGGTCATATATTCCAGTCAAGTGCCTTAAGCTCGATGGGGGAATACAGAAGAAGTAGAGAAGTTTAAAGCAGAAAGACACTTCTGCTAGAACCTAAGGGTCTGCTGCTAAGGGCTCCTCATCTTACTAAAACACTGGTAATCCTCTTCAGAAATGCATACTCAGCCAGAACCACAGCCAAGGCCCCGGTGAATGAGCCTTTGTCCTCCGCTCCACCTTGTCACTCACCTTCACAGCTCCGCCCATCTGGGAGCAACTTGTAACCGCTGGGGCAGGAGCAGTGGTATGAGCCTGGCACATTCACACACTCATGGACACACAGTTTCCCTCCTTGGTCCAGCCGGTAGACTTCACACTCATTTACATCTGGATCAAAACAGAGAAACAATGTACTGTGATAAAAGACAAATAAAAAGATGTAACAACCATATTTTACATAATAGCTCCTCAGGTGGACGTTATGAAACGAGCAGTGTGTTTTTGTGAATTTCTTGGTGAATGTTCCTGGAATTGAGCCTACACTTTTTTTGCCCATTGAGTATTATGTAAAATGGGCATGTTTTGAACTATTCCAGGAAATTTCATTTCAAAACACTGCTCAAGCAATTAAAGTTGAAGTATCAGTTGAACTGTGACCTATGTGTGTGCTAATCAGCTTGTGACCTCCCAAGAGGATTATCATGTTTGTCACACATGTTTTATCTAATTTTTTAATTACCAGCAAAGAGAAGATTGAAGCGAGCCACGCTACCCCCGGGAGCTGCTCTGTAATTGACCTAGCTTCCCCATTACTAGCGGTAGCAAAATTAGAATTTTCCCAGAGGGATCCAATACGTTAACACATAATTCCGGCTCACCCTGACAGATGCTGTTGTCAGAGGTGCCACTCATGTGAAAGCCTGCGTCACAGCTGCAGTGTTGGGCTTGGTTCACTTGAGCGCAGCGAGGTCTCCGGCTGAATGCTGGATCATTCATAACACTCCACTCAGGCGGAGCTGCATTACAGAACACAAAACCACAGAGTGGGATTTGAGCTACGAGCAAATACGAATGAATGAATTAAGGCGACAGTCACTTCCGTGGCACTGGCCTGTCTGTGTTTGGTGCTGGCAGTGAGAGCCACTCCAGGTCTGAGGACAGGTGCATTTGTACTGGTTCACACCTTCCACACAGGTACCTCCATTCTGGCAGGGATTGCTTGCACACACACTCATATCTGTTGAAGAAAAAGAGAAATACCTTCACTGTTGACGAGTTATGCCATTTGTTTCTTCCCAAACCACATGCACTCATTATTTAAAGGAAACATCTGTAAATTTGGCTTGTCACATAACAGCTATTTCCTTTTTGGGAGATATATTTCTGAGATGTCGGTGGAAAAAGGTTTTGATGCTGCTTTTGACCTTTTTTCCCCTCACATAACGTGTAACAGTGTCAAATGTCCACGGATGTCTTCAGTTTCAAATTTCTTTTAATACTGCACATGCTGACAACAGAAGTGTGCACTAGACAAAGGCAAAAGATGGAATGCATCATCACGTCAGAGATACTAGAATATGGAACCGATCATCGGAAATAATCAAATTGAGCCATGTTTGCAACATGTTTGAAAAAATACAAAAGGTTTTTCGCACAAACAATATGCATTTAATGGGTTGAACTTTTGAATATTTTTTTAGCTTTGTTTTTTAAACCAAGATAAAAGCAAAAACTTAACTCTCGTGACATGTTTTATTTTCAGTCTGCACGTTCCCATAAAATGCCTGAGGGTGACAGCACCACTATTACACTGTCATAGGAAAATCATAAGTGTGTCTTTTCAAGTGTTTTTTTAACTTCAAACTGGCTAAATTGTAAATGTTTTTTTTTACTTATACAGAACAGCTGCAAGACAAATGGCTAATACAGGAATGCTAAACACAATAATACAATTTTAAAAAGAGCAGATGATATTTCCAGCTCATTTTGGTAGTCTTTGACATCTATTATGATGATTGCCCATAGCAACTTCAAAGTGCGCTTTATGTGGGACCAGGTCACTGAGCTTTCCAAAGTAGCATGGAAAGGATGCAGAGCAGGAACAAAGTCCAAAACCTCTCTACTCAGCTCAGGAGCATCATGCAACCCCGGGTTTGAACTGTTGGCAGCCCATGGTATCCCTATAGACATCCTAAATGTCAGTTAGTTAATTTTCAATCTAATTTAATCAAGTTCCGACAATTAAAAGAACAAGTATTCAATCATGCTTTATACTGCAAGTGGAGATATATTACTAAATTAACTGATGTTCTGATTATTCAGACTTCAGATTATTATTTCATAGATGCCCTGAGAAGATAGAATGTCACTTATCCTGTGGCAAAACAAATTTGATCTTTGTTTCTGAGGTTGGCAAAAAGAGCTGTGCAGATGTTAAAACTATAACGCACGCCGGGCTCTTTGAACTCCAGCTCTCAGGCCACAGTATCCGAGATGACAACCACTTCCCTCTATTTTTATTTGGCTTCTTCAGGGGCCTCCACTGAGCCATAACATCAAAAGGACCAAGACACTTTGATAGATACTTTAAAACTCTTCTTAGCTTTAAGATTTCCTCACAATGTCAATACATGATTAATTTATTCCGCTTATACTGGGCTGGAAAACACGAATCATCATCATCCTGTGCAGAGTTGAGGCTTCTCATGCTGTTTTAACCAGTTGAGTCAATAAACATGCACACATGTTCATCATGAATGTGCCACTGGGGATTTTTTGGAGGAGAGCCACCAGTGAAGGCTGAAAGGGCTATCAGTAGCATGCTTAGCATACTTCAGAGCTATCAGACCATAGTTTGGGCATAATGGCTGCCCCTAACCCCGTCCAGGGACTGCTGTCAAAGACGCAGGCAAACATGAGGAGCAGAGAGGAGGGCTTAACTTACAGTAGCCCAAGCAGCTCTGCTAATGAGGACAATAGACCTGAAGGGCGACGGCAGCCCACAGTGGAATGCAGTACAGGTGTTTCTCTGTGGTCAGAGATATTTGATGCCAATTTAACGAGTGCTCCATTCAGAGCGTGGAGGAGTTCCAGGCGCTCGGCAGAATAGCTCTTTTCTTTGCGTGTTATCTGCCTCTGTGTGGAGATCCACTCGGTTTCTGAGCTGACCCTCTTCCCCTGCCATTAAAGCTCTGCCGAGGGCCTAACATATTGTCAGTAGTGGGGATCTTTCTCAGTGGAGAAAATGGACGTGAAAAGTTTGAAAAACCGATGTAGCATTAATGATGCAATGCAGAGAGTGGCCTCATTGCTGGTCAAAGTTGAAGAGCAGTGTCAGTTTATTAATCTAAGATTCACTGTGTCTTTCTCAGCTCACCTTTACAAACTGCCCTGACACCAGTCCAGGTACCATTCTCCCGGCAAACCCGTGTAGCAGAACCTACAAGGTGGTAGCCCTGGGAACAAATGAAATGAACCTCGTGTCCAACAAAATACTTTGAGCCAAACTTTGTTCCGTGAGCGGGGGCCTCCAGGGAGGGGCAGGTGGTCGGAGCTGTTGGAGAAAGAAAGCACGAGAGGAAGGCTGGTCACATGTGGAATAAGCCTCCCAACATCCTCTGGCATTTCTCGCCTGGGGATATACACGTGTCACTGGGCAGCGCAGAGCCTTCATGGGAAACTGCTCTCCAAATGCCTCATTTACAGGCAACAAGCACAGGACCGGTCAGGGTTACGGGTCAGTGTTGCACTGGCAGTACAAAATATATTCTATTTATCATGCTGGGAAATCTTATGCATGTATACACTTTCATCACAATACACCATGAAAAGCTTACATCTGTTCACTTTTATTAGATTTTTGTGATTCCTTCCACTTGCAGCTATGCGTGAAATGTTTTCTTCTCTTACTATCTTCAATTATTACAGTCAAATTAAGGCACCTTACAACAAGTCCTCATGACCAGACCTCCGTCATGTCCAGTTTCTACATGAGTACGTGTCCTCAAGTGAATGTGTTATATTCAGAGCCTAAATCCATTCTGTGTTCATAAATGGTGCCCTTTATATGAAAATCATAAGTATTGATTCTCATCCGAGCAGGTGGTGTGATCAAGGTTCTTGTCATCTCCTTTTTGAGATAATTTATTGCTGTAAATGAAAAATATCAGCCTCTTTCTATTTGCATTACATTCTGCACAGAATAATGAGCTGAACTGGTCTATCCCTAATAACTTGGTCTCAGTGTCTACTGCCAAGCAACACAATTCCACAAATCCACTTCCCCTGTCAAGTACCCAGTTTTATGACCAAGAAAGCCTTGAACCCTTGAATGAATGTATTATTCTATTATATAACTGACTGGGTCTGAATCTCTGTTGTCACTCTTTGAGGAAAAATGTATTAGTAGATTTTCTTAATACAAAAACCTTTTCCCATAATATAGAAAAATGTGATACTCTGTAATTTTCTGTTCCTACGAACTTAGCAGCCTTTTTCTGTATTACAGAGAAGAAACTCAGTAATTTTGTGAAATAAATGAGTTAAAGAATTGAATACAACATAAATTAAAAATTTGGCCCTATACATAACAAACATATGCTCTGAGTTTCAATAGTGGAGCATATCTCAACATGCATACGTGTGCTGTGTGATGTGTTTTTTTGTTATCAGGTATATTCATGTGTAACAGTACAATTATCAACATCATAGAACAATGTTATGCTGAACCCAGTGATCAGAACCTACAGAACAGATTGTATACAGTCTGTTTTTCTATTTATTACAGTTTAAAAGAAATCCTGAAAATGAAAGATACAGGAGAAAATATTACCATGATTTTCAGGATTTAATTGTATCAGGCTCAGGTTGCCAACACATCACGCAGAGCCATGAATGACCCCTTTTCCAACAATGACACCTTAGATGGGCCTGAAACATAAATCGTTGCTTAGAACTCACCAGCGGACTGATCAGCTTGAGGCAATTTGGAGACAGAGTTCTGAAGCGATGCCAGCTTTGACTTCATTATCCTGAGGCCCTCTGTAAACCTTATCTCTTGGCCTTTCAAGAACTTCTCCATCTGACGCAGCACCCCAACCACCTGGTGCTTATCCATGCATGTCTGTTCATAAAACACAAGCACTGTGAGCAAAATTAGCAGTTATAAAAGAGCCCTGGCAGAACATCTGAAATTACAGCGACTTTCCAGGGAGAAAATGAGGACAGGACTAAAGGTTACCTTGGTTTAATGGAGGTAAAATCTAAAACATGACCAGTGAGTGAGAAGCAATGGAAATTGGTCTGACAGAGGAAAACAAATCCCTGTTATTTGTGGCAAGTGTAATTATGGTTACACTGAAATCAAAGGCATAACACTGAGATGTTTTTTTCTTGTACCTGAACGTAAAGGCACAAATGTTCCTTATCTAGTTCACTTCAACCACTGTCGCCCAAGTTTTTCTTCAGAAACTTTGATGCACTTTCATGTGAGATTCACGAGGCCTACCTCTGTTCTATTCTCCCTCACCCCTTTTCCCTCACACCACCACCACTCCAGAAGCAGGCACAGCTGGACAAAAGCTGTCTGGCAGATGTCAGTGGAACCTAAGTCCAAAATGCTGTTCCTCTGTATATTTTGCATGGCTGTAGGAAGGCACATGCTCATTGGATAATCCTGAATGGGTAGACTCAAAATAGCATGGGTGCCACAGGCAGCCACTTTTGGGGGGGGGAAGCATGTCCATACGATTACAGAGTTCCTCAAAGAAAGTGCCTCTAATCCCTCTAGAAAGGTTTATTAATCACATGCTCATTGGAACAATTTCTCTGAGCAACATACTTTGAATTCCTCCTGGGACATTTGAAGGGCTTTGTACAATAACAGCCAGCTTCAATACATTCAGAGGTGCAGTAGTAAGAAAGCCCTGTGCTCATTTTACCTGCCCAAGGCAAAGGGGAAATACCACCAGCTGACAAGACATGAGAGGATTCCTATCCAGACGCAATATTTTTCATTCTTTCTTTATTAGATTCAAACAGTATCTGGTCATTTCTCCTGTGGAAAGTGGAGAGACTCTAATCTCTACACAGTCACGACTTAAAACGAAACACATGCTTTTCATGGCTGCTGATGCTGGATGGATTATAGGATAAAATGCTCAAACATTTTTGTGTGACACTGCAGATAGGAGGATTTCAGCAAAAGTGTGAAGATGAACAGATTTGGTGATATGTGACTACATAATCAAATACATGATGCTTCCTTACACTCCACTAAGCAAGAGGTGGCTGGTTCCTGCACATGTTTGGAGTAAAGGGGTCCTACCTGAACAGTGGCGTGGCCGCTCTGGATAGCTGTCAAACACAGAAACAGCAAACACCTGCGTCGAAAAGACAGAGCCATCCCTGATTCCAGTCAACAACTTCCCCCTGGTTATATCCTCAAATATTCGGCAAAGTTTCGTTTTAAATGTCGCAACAAGAAAATCCCTGAAAACAGTGGGAAGATGCGTCTTTTCGTGTTAGGAGAGCGGGAGATGCTGATCAGGTGGCGCAGGCAGAGATGCGCTCCGTCCTCTCTCTGCACTTTTGGAAACTTTAGCCACTGAGCTCAACTCACTACCTTGGGCTCCTTCACAAGAATCCCTCCCACTCAGATGGTTCCAAGCAAAGTCAATCTATTTTCTCACTAATAATTTGTCTGGTGCAGACAGGGAACCTTCAAAAGAAATAATATTTAGCCTCGGTAAAACCTGAAAGCGTTTTATTACCTTGGTTTTAAGTCCGCTTACATACATCGGATTATCCGACGTATTTGAAGCCTCACTGAGTGAAGGATAACTCCCACACGGGAAACAATCATTTTTCTTCTTTTTTTTTTAGAATGGACTTTGTAGGTCGCAATTTGTGAAAAATCAAGTCCATTTAAATGGGCGCGGACGCATTTCTAATATACAAATTAAACCTCTCTGGAGTGAGCTAAAGGGAAAATTTGCCCTTTGGACTTAATTTCAGGAGTCGGACTGACACCTGCTGGTCAATAACTGGGTTGCATGAGCGCGTAAACAGTGCGAAATGCATGCGCGTGAGAAAACTGAACAAGACATTACTACAGTGAGAAATTTAAACATAACAAACTAACTTTAGTTATTTGTCGACGAAAACAAGGTCAATGCAGGTCATTGCGATAAACTAATACACATTCATAAAACAGTAAACACAGTTAATGGAAAAGCTGAGCGTGATAGTCTCACCCCATTATTAAATATATATTTGAATGCGAAGTAGAATGACGTTGCTTTCAGCCAATAGGAATCGCGGGCTTTGTTGCCCTTGTGGTCACTCGGCCAATCGCTGAACAGTGTTTGCCGTAGCCAAGTTAGGTAGATCCTGCGAAGACTATAAATTTGTGGAGAACATATTGTCGAGGAATGTGCAGCAGAACTCAGAAGCCATTTTGAGATGATGTCCCTGTTGAGAAATCCAATGAAGATGCTGATATCAACGAACATGGTCACATTTCTGTCTTTGTCTCCCACCGTCTCCTCTATTTCACCATGGCAGCTGTCAACCGACGGGACATTAGCAAAGCGGGGTATCAAGCTGTGCTCACAGGGTTAAAACGCCATTGATATGAAAGAGGAGAGTGTCTGTTTACTGTATCTGTCGAGACATGTAACACCGTGAGTCTTTTCCAGTCTGAAATCTTCCAGCATCTCTCACAAACCAACGTCTCCTTGAGTGACTGAGTGAATTCACTCTTGTACCGGGGTGAAGGGAGGCAGATCCGTTTTCCAATGGCTTCTGTGAGCCTTGTTTCCAGTCCCCCAGCCCCTGTTCTTGACAAAAACATGACAGACTCTGAGCTTGCAGGGGATGAAAGGTCGAGTAACATTCTTGTGCAATTCTTAATAAGCTCATCCGTTCGTTTCAGTGCTGTGGGTCTACATGCTTGTTTTGATGTTTTCTCTTTTAATCATAAATTGCAGACATTTTCCAAGGCTCCCTTTCCCCCCTTAATTTTTTTTCCCCATTTCCTTCTTGCATGCCTCTTTAGTGCATATGAACACTGCTGTTCAGACAGCTTTGGATTCACATCACCGTGCCGATGAGACTCATTCATGATCATTTCCATGTACGATAACAGACCTCATCTTTCGGTTGTTGTGCTGCGGAGAATTCATGGCTTCGATGTTGCCATCTGCAGGATACTATGCAAATAACTATGATGTAAATGCCACGCCCATCCTCCTGCCGCACTCCACCTGCCGGACACCTGGCTGTACTGCCCAGACAGGCGCACGCAGGGTGGAAATTACGCGCTTGTTCAAGGTCCAGGCCAGTGTCCTTTTGATTTGAGTGAACCGGTCATTAGTCTAACTTAAGCCAGAGATAGAATTGCTACTAGGTTTGGCTGTGGTGAATTTCGTTGCACAACTCTTTAGCTCCTGCAGGTTAGAGCAATTGTTTTGAACTCTTGAAATAGATTGACAAACCTTGAACGTTTCATATGCAGGCTCCAGGGTTGGGCTAAAGATTGTGACTTTACTGCATGTAGCAATATTATTTCTTTACTTTGGTATTACCAGAAAGCATGAAGAAGTCTATTTGGATTTTCACACCATCCTCATTGATTATTTTAACAATGATAAAAATATGTTCCTTTATATGCCAGCCGTTCTAAGTTTGACTCTTACAATATATATATGTTTGTTTATGTGTATGTATTAAAATGCAGTACTTTGGTAGACTTGGAAGTGGAGGCATATCACGCTGGACATCAGGATTTTTGCCCGTGTGAAAGAGGTGGCTCGTGTCATTGGAAATTGACCCGTGTCACCAGGGTGGACATACTTTCCAATTTCGTGGTGATTTTGTTCCACCACCTGCTCATCATTCTTAAAGGGCCTGACATGTTACGAGAGGACTTTCAATATTGAAGTAGAAATTTCCAATATTTGTTTAAATGATGAAACATTGCCTTCACATAGACTTTTTCAGCTCCACAGATGGTCACCTGATTCACTCACAACTTACTGTTGGGATTTTCTCAAGCCTTATTTTGCAGTATTGAAACACTGTATTGTGTGTTATTGAAAGTAATTTAAACCATGTCAATACTTAATTTTACTTGACAGTCATAGTGGACCTCTGTTAGAAAAATCTTCACTTCATTTTATGACCTCTTGGATTGTGTTTAATATGTTGCTGTCATAAAAAGTACCTGAATTTAATTTCACTTTCATAAACTGTTCTTAAAGAAAGAGTAAAAGTATATTATTTTAATAATTATATTATGCCTTTAGTACAAATTACCCTTTAGAATAAAATATAAATTATCTGACATCATAGTTTGGGGCAAAAGTTGAACACTTTTATACTGTAAGCTATATTGTATATCAAATATTACCTGCCATCAGATTTTTTTTTCTCCTGAAATTAAAACGTTAGTATGTCAACAACCATTTACAGTTTGTAAGCATTTTTTAGACTAAACATACCATGTGCTTCTTTCTGTAGAGAGGATGGTGAACTAGAAGATGGAGAAATAGATGACGAGGGGATTGGAATCGAGGAGGAGAACAAAGAAACAACAGAGGTGAAGGAAGACAAAGAGAAAGAGAAGGAAAAGGAGAAAGAAAATGAGAAAAGTAAAGAGAAAGAAGAAAAGGTCCGGAGACACTCCAGGAAAAGATACAAAAAGACCAGAGAGAAGAGGAGGTCAAAAAGAAGGAGGCGTGACAGACAGAAAGTAAGAAGTGATCTTAAGTGTTAATGGAAGAATGCTATTTTGGCATAGATGTGAACCATGCTTGTGAATTTAAAATTCTCTTTGATTGTGTGTTTTTTGTTTGATTTCTATTTGCCCCATCAGCATCATTCACCCACCAGCAGCTCCAGCTCTGACAGTTATGACTCTGACTACAGTAGACCAGAGAGGCCCAAAAACAGGAAGAGCCAGGGATCCAGTCGGGAGCCTGATGGCCAGTCCTCTCAGGTGAGCGGTGATAGCCGGCGTGTTATTACTCATTTATACAGGCTCACAGCACATCATTTTCTCTCTGGTTTGATTCGCAGCTCTCAAAGGGAGGCCATGTTAACTTCAAGAAGTCCTCACCTTTGAAGAGCAGCGAATTTGACAAATACAGCGACTACAGCGACGATAGGTACGACTATGATGAAGAGGAGGATGATTATGAAGATGACATGTCCGAGTACCAGCAACCAAAAGATTCAACAAGTCATGGAAAAGGACGCTACACCAAAGACCACATGTGCAGAGGAGGCATGAGAGGGATGAAGCATCAGCAGTGTATGTACCATTTTAAGAGAATCACTTCCGACTTCAGGTTATTCCTGCAGACATTCGTCTTAATGTGCAGACACTAGGCCCATTTTTTTCGTTAAACGTAATTGAAAAGCCCCAATTAAAGAGTCAGTAGGTTTGGGCTTCTTTGAATTCTTCACATTCACTCATTTTTTGCAGTTGGACAGAGAGGACGGGGCAGAGGGAGCGGACCTGGAAGAGGTCGTGGGATGCTCAACAAGAACAAGAAACTTAAAGGCAAGCCCTGGGGAGGAAGGGGCCGGGGCCGAGGAGAGCAGGGAATGGAAGACATGGGGCTGGTATGTGCCAACTAATATCTACTGTATGTCTGTTTTAATATTTTCCAACTGATGGCAAATAGAACGCAGTTTACAATATTTCTCCTACTGAGCCACACACCCTGACAGCAGAGACGTGCAAAGTCTGGAGCAGGGGTGTCCAAAGCCAGCACTGAAGAGCCACTGTTTTGCAGGTTTTTAAGGATTTCCTGCTTCAACACACCTGATTCACATCAATGCGCCGTCATAGGGCTGTGCAGAGCTACTTAACAATGTTTGGAATTGATCCATTCAATCAGAATCAAGTTTTGAAGGGGGGAAACATCTTAAACCTGCATAACAGTGGCCCTCAAGGACCTGGAGTTGGATGCTGGTCTAGAGTCAGTGTCTCTCCTCTAGAGATGGACAGCAGGACAGTGGTTGGGTATTTATCAGCTTCACATTAGATTTTTTTCAATTAGATGTTGTTTATTTTTTATGACAGGATGGAAAAAACTTTCATAAGAAGCGACCAATCATGAGCAAGGAGTTCATCAATCAGCATACAGTTGAACACAACGGCAGATACATCTGCAAGTATTTCCTGGAGGGTCGCTGCATCAAGGTACCGCAGCGGGGATGTTGATATATGTCACATCCACTGATGCCAAATTACTTTCACTACCAGATAAAAAGTTTTCTTCTCTTCACCCAGGGGGAACAGTGCAAATTTGAACATGAACATGTGGTGCCTGATAAGAAGAAGGAGCTCTGTAAATTTTACCTTCAAGGTTACTGCAGCAAAGGAGATAACTGCATTTACATGCACAATATCCTTCACTGGGTGCTACCAATGACGTGTGTGTGCCGCCTTGCATAATAAGCACATTGTACGCTTTTGGCTGGTTTTGCTCCTTGACCTGCGTGTGCACATGAATACCCCTGCAAGTTCTTTCATACTGGAGCCAAATGTTATCAAGGGGACAACTGCAAATTCTCTCACGATGCTTTAAACGATGTAACAAAGGAGCTTCTCGATAAGGTAAGACTTGGTAAGATTTTCCATCCCCGCTCTTGGCACTAACAACATTCCACTGTTTTATTAATTCTCTTATGACTTGCATTTCAGATCATTAACACCGAGGAGGAAAATGCTCGTGAGGACGAGCTGGAGCTGGAGGATCTGAGAAAGCAGGGCATTGCCCCACTTCCGAAGCCTCCCCCAGGAGTGGGCTTGTTGCCCACGCCGGGTCAGTGCAGTCCCACAGACGGACAAGCTGGCAAGAAGATCCCCTCCCTGTTTGAAATCAAGGTTAAACCCACAGTAGACCTGGCACAAAAAATTGGCCTGAGGTAACCAGAATGACCCGTTGTCAAAGTCGAATGAAATTGTAAAAAGTGCTCGGCTCTCACCCTGAAAAAATAACTGTCTTTATTTTGTAGTGGATCCAACTTCCCCCAGAATCAAGGTGATGGCAGCAGTCAGTTTAGTGGAGGCTCAGAGGACAGTGGGGCTACAGTGCCTTCAGGCGCTCCTGCTGCTCCTATTCCTCCACCTGAATCTCCTACTCTCATGGGTCACTCCACTGGCCCGACTTTGTCGCAAAGCCCCCCAGGACAGCAGCCCCCACATGGTTTTCCAATGCAGCCGCCAGCCCCCTCTGGACAACCCCCATCCTTTCATGGATCCAACATCAACCCGCATATGAATATGCAGAGGCCTCCATTCTCTCCAATTCCAGATCTACAAATGCTCCAAAGTGTCTTTCCTTTCCCGTCAGCAGGCCAAAGCTCAGCAGAGCTCTTCAGCAGCTTCCTTCAAAACCAGGCCATAGGTCAACAAGGAGGTCAGGAACGCCTTAATATAGTTACAGGATATGCAGAGTTACCTTTTCCCTGTTATTCACTTCATGTGTTTTTGTTGTTTCCCATGTTGTAGACACGGCTCTGGCTTTCGTACAGAACCTTCAGCAGCAGATGGGGGCAGAGTCCCAGTTCCAGTCTTTACCACCAGCAGTTCAGAAAGCCATCTTTCTACACCTGACACAGCAGCAGCAGCAACAGGAGGCACAGGGTAAAGAGCAGCACAGAGCAGACAGCCAGGAGGATAACAGTGAAAACAGAGGTAGGTGTCTCTCATCGAGAGGGAGCCGCTTTGATAACCCTGTTAAGATGATTGGATAGGGGAAAGGAAACCATTTTATTTCAAATAAAATATCTAATAACTTCAGTAAACATGCACTGAAAAACTAGCATCACATGTGACCAAGTTTGGATACATTTAAAAAGACTGTCTTTTTTTTTCCAGATATAACAGCAAACTGGTACTCCAGCGATGAGGAGGATGGGAGCTCCTGTGTCTCCTCCATCCTTAAGTCTCTGAAGAAGCAGACTGAGATGCAGCAGTCTCAGACAAAGTCCCTCCCGGCCGGCCATGCAACTCCAGGTCTGGGTGACCCTCGACTCATTAAGGAAAGGGCCCCTCCGAGCGACCCACGCATGAAGACAGACCCCAGACAGCGACTCCTAGATGTGAAAAAAGAAACGGATGGATCTGGAGACGCACGGCTCTCCAGAGACCCCAGGAAGATAAGGCCAACAGAATCGAGTTCCTATCGCCAACAGAGCCACTCTGGGGTGCAGAAGCATCCAGCAGGAGAGGAGGATGATGAAGGAGAGAGGGAACTCAGGGAAAGAGCCGTTCTCATCCCTGTAGATCCCAGCCCTGGCCTGGTGCTGCGGGACCCTCGTTGCCAGTTAAAGCAGTTCAGTCACATTCGAGTGGATATCCTGCTCCAGCGGCCTGCCTTTGCTCAGACGGTGGTATGGGCCCCAGAGGATCTCATTCCCTCCCTCGTTCCCAAACAGGAGCACTCTATCAACCTGCCCCTCCCGCCCCTGATTGCAAACGCTCAGATGAACCGAACCAGCCTGCCTGACCTTCCTCCAGTTTCCAGCCCTCCCCCCTCTGACCCCAGACTAGCAGCTGCACGCCTGAAGGAGCGCTTAACCCGCCCTCCCACAGGACCCCAAGAGTCTCGATCCTCCACAGAGAGACCTGTAGACCCACGGCAGCAGAAATCTCTGGACCCCAGACTGAAGCGTACAGGGAGTCTGGACTCTAAGCTGCCGGGTCAAAAGGAGCATTCCTCTGGAGGGGGACTCGTGGATCCCAGGCTGCAGAAAGCCAGCGTCAGTTCCTCTCCTCAAGCCAGCAAAAGCAAACCAGAGGCGGAGAAGCTGCCCCCATACGCCCCCCGACTGGCATCGTCGGGAGGAGGACTGGACAGCCCAACTACAATCCTTGGGGGCATCAGCCTGTACGATCCTCGATGTCAGGCCGAGCAGGCTCAGAAGGAGCAGGTGGATCCTCCCAAAAAAGCCGGGATTCTGAAACATCATGCCAAAAAGGACAACCCTCCGACGCTATCACTCTCACCAACTCAGCGGAGCGGCTCTTTTGAAGAGGTTAAAAGCACAGATGTCGCTGCTCATCAAACTCTTCCCACCTCTCCAACGGCGCCTCCTGCCTCACCCGTCAAACCCCCCGCCGTGCACAACCTCCCCATCCCGGCGCTGGCCGGCCTGATGCGACCCCAGTACACTGACCCCAGGCAGCCTAAACAGGGAGGAGGACATGGTCCTGCAGGAGCCCCTGAGGAGACAGAGGAGAAGGTGGAGGAGCAGGAGGGCGAAGAGCACATTATGGAGGAAGAACCAAAGGAGACAAATCCAGAGGAGGAGGCTGACGACAGGACACTTAAAGATGTATTCAAGACTTTTGATCCCACAGCTTCCCCGTTCTGTCAGTGAACACTTCACCGTGGAAATAAGCAACAAAAGATTTGTATATTAGTAAGACTTGTCTAATCTTTAACTGGCTTTTCAATGATCTATTTATTTCTGTACATAGTCCTGTAGAGGTTGCTCCATGCCACATTGTGAGACTGTGAGCAGACACAGTGTATAGTTCATTTTCATGTGATCACACTAGAACCACAAGGTTTATTTTGAGTGTATGTAATTAAGATCTTTTATTAATGTGTTGTTTTTCATTCCGTTCTAAAAAAGTAGAAAACAAGTCATTAAATGCATCCTATCCAAATGTTCCATCCTGTAAAAACAGTTCTATTGACATACACGCCGATAAATCGTAACGTAAGAATCTCTTTGACAGTATCTGTATTTAAATATTATATCTGAAACACTTTTTTTTATTCTAGATGTTTATTCCCACTTTTATGAACATGTATGCTCTGAGACTTTTTAAACCACACATGCCAGTTGAAGATTGCGATTTTTCAACCTTTCTGATCAGGTCAGAAAATGTAATCAGTCATTTTTATTGTTTGTAAACCAATCCATGTATTAAGATTGGAGAGTTTTTAATTCTTTGTTTACACTTTTTAAACTCCACAGTGAAGCTCATTTTCAGATATGTTTTCACTATTTCAGACGTTTCCCATCACTGCTGAACACTTCGTCGGACAAGTGCTCAAAATACTTTGCGGACGTTCACTGTTTTTTTTTTTGTGAGTGACTGGGGTTGAGCATTGTCTGTTTATCCATCTGTGCCATTCATCAAAACACTTTTCTGCTCAAACTTTTTGACTTGTGAAAAAAAAGAGTCAAACAGAGAGAGGAGCCATGCTATCTTTACGATAATGCAAGTATGAGTGACTGTGTACTCGATTGGTCAGTTTTTGCTGAATTTAGTTGACCCTGACAGAAAGTGAACCTCTCTTTGCTACAAAAGCATGAATGTTTTGGATACAAGGTGAAAAATGGCTTCGCAGTAGAGATGACAGCTTTGAGTCTGTAATGTGAGCAGCTTTTGTTTGACTGCAAATAAGCTACTTCTGTTTAAGATTTGACATTGTAAATGTGCATTTTGTATCAAGTGTACAGTACAGTGTGTTTTAGTGAGTATTTTATTTGTATGCATTGCTTTTTTCAAGCCAGTGTGGGTCAGTTTGACGGTCATAGTTCTATAATACTGTAATGCATTTTAACAGCCTATGCCTATCATTTAGTGATTTTTATTATAAATGTGTGAAATAAAAAAAAAATGAAACGGCAACAATTATTGTTTAGCATAACACAAGGATTTCTATTCTTTGCAGACATGTCTAGTTCTGCTGAAAATCTTTGTTCATAAACCCAAGATGAATGTGCAAAAAAATCTGATATATGCCTTGGAAAGCTTTTTTTTTTCTTTCACCCCTTTCAAATGTTCAATTCACCCATTCCACTGGCGATGCACCTCTATGCCATCATGTTGTGTTTCAAACGGAGCTGGCCTTGTGTCTCCTCTTGTGTGTAGAGTATGTTGTGTTAAAAACAAAAAACAAGAAAAGGCTAATTCGTATCAGTCAGGCCACAGTACAGCTTTCCAATTTGTTTTATTTGTTTCATGTTTCAGCTCTGAAAAGATGATTTGTGGATCTTGACAGTCAGTATACAGTGTGACATCTATGTACCCTGATGTGTTGATGACTTTGGGAACTACATTGTTTTTCAATGACTTTATAATGCCAGTCATAATGCAGTGCTGCCCAAGAAACTTAAACTTTTGTTGACATTTTAGAGAATCTTTTGGGCTGCTATCACCACTGCAAAACTTTTTTTGAGTCATGTATTATAAGCACTTCACTTTGAATAGCTATTTCTTATGTTCTTTTTAAAATCAAATATTGGTTTATAAAAAATAAGAAAAGCTTCCAATTTATTTTAAATGTAGATTTTATGTTCCATACCAAAGTTTTTTAAATTTTGGGATGTAGCATATGCTGATGTGTCTTTCATCAGGACTGAAGGTTTAGTGCAGTTAATTTATTTTCCAAAGTACAGTTGATGTTACTTTGTGCCTCATGAGCCACGAAACATTGTGTTTAAAGCTTAAAGCTGTTGGCCTTGACGTTAACCTTTGGGGCAAGGCTGGGTGCCAAAGGGTGCACTGACGTTTTCCTCAAACCCAGCTCATCAGTTTCTAAGTTAGAGGTCTGCTGGGCTCGATGAATCTCCAAGTTTCTTTTCCACTGGAAACACAGAGCTGTGGCCTCTTCACCGTCAGAGTTTGGCTCAGGCTGCCTCAGACCCTGAATTACAGAGGATATTAGCAAACGGATCAAAATGATGAATGTCTGATAATAAAAGCCTGAATTTTTAGGTATGCATGGATTAAAGTTAGAGTCTATATGAATGTCAGAACTGACGCTGTGCTATGCTGAATGTGCAGGGATGATCAAGAGTTACGAGATCTGTTTTTGTCATTCCTTTTGCACAGTGTGTCTCACCAGATGCTGCCACCAAAACTCCAAACACTGCAACCATTCCCAAATGTCCTAAAGCATTTTCAATGTCAAATACACAGGAACAGTTTTGAATCATTTATTTATTTAGATTTTACCTACATTGCTAGGTACCTGAAGTAATTATTGACTGATGTATTTATGCTTGTGGAGTCATACTTACTGTAATACAGGCTGTTTCTGCAGCATGGACGCCACGAAGCACAGTCTGCAGAAGATTTTGGACGTTTTTGACAAGGATTTCATCAGAAGATTTGGACCCAGGAGTTACTGCATTGACACTATGTAAACATGAAGAAAAGGTTCTTCAGCCGCTGTCTCTCAAAAAGCAGTCACTGTGTCGTTTATGTTTCAATCTAACCTGGAAATGATGCTCAGTTGATTAGTGATGGTGAGAATCTGTTCAATGATGAGGGAAAGTTCCTCCGTGCACTGCTTATCCAGGCTGTGGTTCGCAATAATTCTGATGAACTGAGTGACAGATTGGCAGTTTGAGATGACATCTCTGGCTGCAGAGACAAACGCTTCTTTGTTCTGTACAGAATGAAAAATAATTGTGGATAAACATAGATGGTCATGAGAGGTGAAAGTGGTAAAAGAGGGCTCTGATGTTCCTCACCAATAATGGCCCTTTCTTCTTTAAATACTGTGTCATGTGACATATTATGTCGGCCATATTCCTGGTCTCCTGGACGATTCTATTGTCTTTGGGATCCCAGCTGTTGCTTCTTTGCTTTAAATAAAGCGAAGTGTTGGTGAGTGAAGACACGTCTTTGTACGGATTAGGTGTATAACAGCCCTGCAGAAGAAAATCAGAATGTCATTCACTGTGACACACAATAATAATTTGACTCTACAATCTAGTAAATCTTAAGATACCTACATCTCTTTTCAGTATTTCAGGGTCATGCCTGGCTGCTGCTGCAGAATTTGTGTTTCCTTTTTTCAACACTGCACTACTTGTGTCAGGAACCTGCAGCTCTGTGACTCCACAGGTCACAGTTGGTAATTTGTTGATATCCCCAGATTCTCTGCCTTGTAGACCAGCCTTGATGTGTTCAATGGTCTCCTGATGAATTCCATCTTGTTTTCTTATCTCCTCTACTACATAGTGAGCTTTGGCTGACCAGCACTGTATGTGAACATCCAAACTGAGTGGGTCACAAATGTAGTGAGTCTGCACGATGAGCTTTGCCCTGCTGATTATTTCTGAGATCTGAGAAGACAGGTGGTCATTGATGGACCTTAGATTAGAGCGGGAATGCGGGTCACGGATGTAGTTCAGGCAGTCCTCCACTTTATTGGTTGCATACTTGACATTTTCAAGAAGTGTTTGTGCTGTGGTTTCAAATTTTTGTTCCATATCTTCTGCACTGGCCCCTCTAAAATGTTCGGCAGCATAATAAGCACTCTTAACAAAACTCTCAAGTGCAGTGGAATATTCTTTGTTTTCTTTGCTCAACTGACCAGAAAGCACTCTAATTTTGATCAGAAGATGTCTCTGAAGGAATTCAGATTTTGCAAGTTGGATCAAATTTGGAATAATATCAAGTTCATCTGCAGCTTTCAGATATATTTCAGTTAGTGTTTTTAACTCATTCTGGTAGCTCGTCAGCTGTTTGGACTTGTAGGTGCTTTTGGAGTTCAGGCTGGTGAGCCTTGCAGCCTCTTGGGTCCTGAGTGAGTTCTCAGACAACACAGTCAGCTGTTTCTGAGAACTCAGATGTTTTGTTGAAGCTGATGTTACCAAAATCCTATCCATTAAATGTAATAAAATCTGAACAGAAACACCCCAGAGGACACAAAGGCTGTCAAGCTGATCCCCTTGTTTTTCCGCTGTGGTCAAGAACTCCACCAGGTCCTTTGTATTGTTCTGGGCTTTGTTCAGCTTGCTGTGTAAAATACTAAACGCTTCCTGCCCATCAGTTTGTAAGTTTATATCTGATGATGCCAAAAGCTGGACCACTTCAGCAGATAAAGTCATCACATCATTTAATCCCTGTATAACTCCAGCTGACACAGCTGGCATATTCCCTTGCAGTTCAGCATGAGCAGCATGATACCATGTTCCCGCCACTGGCAGCAGAACCTTTCGGATGTTGTTGATAAGATCGGAAAACTGTGTGCTGTACTTGTAGATGTTCTTGGTTCTCATCACCGAACTCATTGCCGTCTCTTGCGCTGTCTGGATAAGCAGGGGAGTCAGTGACACCAGCTCTGCTCTAAAGCTTTCCAGTGTCTGAGAGTCAACGGCATCAGCAATGGCCAAGGCTTCCTTTGCAGCTTGGGCATAACAGTTGGACAGCCTAAGAACACTAGTGCAAGCCTGGTTGAGCACTGACACATCTTTCTCTTTAGTCACAGTCACAACCTCATAGAGGAGGGGCAAAAGGTTAAAATCAAGAGGCTTGTGGATCAGTTCAGGCTCAGCTGGGACAGCTGGCATCTTTAAATCATCGCCGTCATATTTACGAGCTAGTCCTGCTTCTATGGTTTCCACATCTGAGTGATCCTCCTCCTGTTTGACTTGAGAATCCCTCTCCAAAACTTCAAAAACAGGAGAATCAGAGGCCCTCATCACATGGCCAAGGTTAACCCCACAGGTGTCTTTGACTGGTAAAAATGGCTCCGTGATTTCAGGCTTGCGTGCTAACTGTCGGAGCGGGCTCAGCAGATCTGGATGCTGGTGGCCGTCCAGGCCTTCTCTGAGCACCCTTGAATGCTGAATGGCCGTTGAAGCATTGTCTGTAAATTGAGAATATATCTCTACATTTAGAGAGGAACCAAAAAGCATGTGTCTGACTGACTCAGCCAATTTGGTTTGAGATGAATCAACCTGCTTTAGCAAAGTAAGCAAGCCGTTCCTGTAGATTGGGTTGCTGCTTCTGTCTAAGTGCCTTCTCACTGAGCGGACCACCAGCTTCATGTGACACATGAGGTTTTTGGCATGTTCATCAAACAGTTTATGGTTCTGTTTCCTGAATGCAGCATCACATCCATGACGGTCGTTGACCATCTCATTAATGGCTAGATTAGTGAACTCCCTGACATCCATTACATCAGTAACAGCATCCAGTAACCCATAAGTCTCCTCCTCCCATTTCTGACACACGTCATGAAGCTTCTGTATGGTTTGCACTGAGTTATCTGACAACTCCAGTGAAAGAGGAGCAATTTGAGCTCTTAGTCTTGTAAGGCATGCTCGAGAGTTCTCCACATTCTCCAAACTCCTTGAATCTACGGCGATAGCTGAGGTGAAATTAGCTACCTGTGTAATTCTATCAGCATGGGATATGAAATCCTCAACTATCGACTGAACAAATGTGAGATCCACATCTGCCTCACAATGTTCAACCAATATTTTTCTTGTCAAACATAGTAGTTTATCAACTATAGAAGATCCTTCAAGAGACATGTCCATGACTTGATAAAGAATCGTAGTTTTCAGCTCTTTGTCAAGCATCTGTATTTGTTGGACCAACAAAGTGCAGGTCTTCTCAAAGCTCCCCTCAGAATGATCCAAATGATCTGAGTACTTTAAAATGAATTTTAAGTCAGACCAGAACTGCAGTATATGGCGACAGTGGCTCACCACTCTTTGCTGACACTCCCTTTGAGTAGAGTTTGCAACCATCATGCAGTGGAACACAAGATCTCTTATCATGCTGTCAAAACCACTGTCTTCCATCAAGGAGGCAGAGGAACTAGTGAGTAATTGCAACAGACTCTCATGCCTAATAGTATAATACCCACGGGGTCCCATTGGTCTTCTGTTGTTGTCACTCATGAGAGTTTCAGTGATATCTCTGACTGTGCTTTGTACCTTCTCTAAAATATATGTCTTGGCTACTTGGGCCTGTTCACTTGTAGGATGTTTGATAGTTGTGCACATAGCTGTGTGCAGCATAGAGATGCACCTCCTCAGAGTTTCCAAAGCGTTGAGAAGCTGCTTTGTTTGCCCTGGATCCTGCAAGGAATTTGCTCTGTCCGTTGTGAGTCTGTTGAGGTGAAGCAGAACTTCAGAAAACACCTGGAAGGACCTGAGGAGAGACTTGATGTCTGAGGAGGAGCCAATCTGGTGCAGGCTCTCCAACACTTGATCGGCTGCAGCAACAACTCTTCTTACACTAGCATCGTCATTCACCAATAGAACCTGCAAGCAGACATATCTTTGAATTGTTTCAACTAATAACTGATAAGCAGTAAGGAATTGTGAAACATTATTGGAAAGGCTACGATATAATTTTATTTTTTGTATTCTGACTTGAGTGTACACCAACATGACTGTTGATACAGGTTTGATCTGTGTGTAACAGTTCTCAACCACTGACAAAAGATTAAATGATCTCTATAACCACACCGGCAGTTACGGCCAAAGATAACACATGAATAGTAGATTTTTGCAATTTAAACCATCGAGTGTGGATGTCTTCTTGTGTGGAGTCTTATTCCCATTTAGGGAAACCTTTATGAAAATAAGAAGCAGATGCAGCTGTTCAAGGCTTAATCAGCTAGAAACTGTCAGCTCTTTCAATCAGCAAGCATTCCTTTCTCCTTACCACTGTTTAAAGAAGGTAATATTTCACACAGAGTCAAAATCATACTTTACTTTGACTACTCCCAGGAAGACACTTTGGGTTGCGATGATGAGCTCCTCTCTGTGCTCGCTCAAACCTGGCTGGATGCTTAGCTTTTGAGCTGCTAGCAGCACATGCTGTCCAGACAAACTCAACGGCTCAAGCAGAGGTGACATCTCCTTGTGCAAAACCTCATCATCTGTCTCACTTATTTGCCTAGAAATAATGAGCTGTAAGTGTTTAACAATTTTTTTTAAATGAAAGAATCACTCTAGAAAATTATGTCCTCAGGTGGAGCATACCTGGAGACCACGGCTGCCATGTTCTCAGTCGCTTTAGCCACTGCCTGAGCCGCCCCCTCCAGCTGGCTGAATTGTTCTGGCTCTTCTGCGCTGTCGCAAAGCAGCACCAAGTGACATAAATGACTTGCAATTGGTGCAACCACTCTCTCCACAGCTGCAGTCCTGATAGATCCATGATCCAGCAACGAGGACATAGTTTCAAAAGCTGCTCTCTCAGATCAAAAGAGAGTGAGTGCCCTCACATATGGTCGAGAGCTTGCTGTGCTCAGTGTAGTAACTGAATTAATAATTCATTCTACTTTATGGAGCGCAAGGGCTTTATTTCAGGGTTTCATAGCAACGGGTGTCACTTGATCGACCCCATTCAACATCAACTGGTTGTCAAAAAACATAGATGTTTGCCAGTGGACTCTCAAAACTATTTGTGTGGCACACTGTTTTGAGTGTGGTTTATTGAAAATAGTTTTAGCCCCCCAGTTGCTAGAGATACTAGCAACTGGTATCTCTTAAATCAGAACACATCAGTTAAGCCACTAGAACGGGTGCCAGGTTAAATAAGCAGTCACCATGTGACTCCTCGCCCTTTTTAAGACAAATGATCATCATTAGCACTTGACAGCCAGTACAATCCTACTGGGAGCTCTTTCATGTGCAGATCATTTTTATTATTTTCCTAATTAGACTATGAATATGGTTGTATTGAGTTTCAAAACAACAATTTAAAAAAAATCAAGGAAATATTTGTGACTTTTTTCAGACTCATTGTTTCCACTTATATTCCTAAATCCAATGCTAATTTTCAGCATTGATGAAAATATTGCAAATATAACTTATATTTCATTGCCAACAGATCCTCCCTCCCTCCCACTCAGTTTTAAATTGTATTAGCAGAATTGAACCAATCCTGCCAGTAGAGAGCACCACACTACGCAAAACAAATATACAACCAGCCAACAACCGGATGACAATCGATAAAGCAAGCTTACACAGCTCAGAAATTTCACTTGGAAATTTATCAACAGATAAATATACAGCTCAAACACTGACATTAAACATCAAACATATAGCACACTCTTATGGAAATTATACTCAGTGACAGTAGTTTACTCAGAACAAAACCCCACATAAAGGTGTGATTAACGTTGACAACAAACAGAATCAAAACAGAATGATCACAGTTAAGCTTTAACAAAAACATGTCAAGTGTTGTTTTATGTGTAACATAGCATCGGTTTAACTGGTGCAGAGGCAAGATGTGAATGTGAACAGTATAAGCTGGAAACACCTGTGGAATTTAAGGGTCATACAGCACAAGAAAAAGTGAAGCGACCATAGAAATCCTTAAAGTGACTCAGAAGTCTGAATAGATTAAATAATAATTTTTGCTATTTGAAATTGCACAGCTAATTCTTGCATGTGATTATATTCTTTTTTCAGTTTTCTTCAGAGAGTGGGATGTATTTTCCTTGTTTCTATTATTTAGAAATTTTCTTGACAGGGATTTTTAGGGATATATATTCTGTCTAATTTTGGACTCTTCAGCCAAAAATCTAAGGCCAGCATTAGAATAGTCAGAAAGTCACACAACTCTGTAGCTGTGGAGTCACATATTGTAAGATTTAAGGGCACAAACATTCTCCCACTTTGACTTAAAGTGAGCTTTCCCATGAGTCCCAAATAACTTTTTTCTGCATGGCACATTCCCACCTATTTTTAGGGCCAAACTCATTCCACGGTCTCTTGTAAATGACTGTAGGTAGACTCCCTTTACTCACTCCAATTTGTCCATGAAGATCACATTTTTAACACCACAACTCAATGACTTAAAATGCAATAGAAGTTTTAAAAAATGTGGTCTGCTAAGCATGAGGTCTGGAAAGGATATGATAATATAGCTTTATCAGTTAAAACAAGAAAAGTCTGCATATCTTATTAATTAGGTTTTTGGAAAAGCACCCCTGGATGTTCTTTACCATGCATAGTTTTTTAATTAAAACATTGAACTGAGTAGAGACTGAAATCCAAATCAGTTGTGTTAACTTCACCTACCAACAGTCATTGTAAAAGCTACTTGAAGGTACAAAAGCATGAAACCTACATGTTGGTAATATTCATATGGACATATGGCTGATAAGGCAAAAACAGAGAGCTCACAGTGAATGACGTCCTAATGATTTCGTAGAAGCCTTTAAGAATTTCTTTTGGTTGACATATGGAGAATACACTTAATTTGCCTGGGCTGATTATTGTGAAAGGCTCAGCTCATAATCATGAAAACAAAAGTTCATAAGCCGGAGAAAATACAGGAGAGATACAATCTTTCACTCTCAATAAATGGGAGGAGCTGAATATACAAACAATTGCACTCATATACTACTAAAAGGGACATATCTTCGGCACACAATGTTCAAGATATGGGGTTAAAGCATTCATTCTCATCAAACATCAGTGCTTAAGAAAACAGACTGTAGACACAGTATGTTTAAAACCGACTTCAGAACCCCAGCTCTTTTCAAAGCTAAGTTTTTTACAATATGGCTTGAAATGTATGTAAAAAAATAAATTCGCTATGTAACACAGCCCTGAGGGTTTTGCTGTTCATCAGTACTCATTCCACCCCCCCCTCCCCTCCCCAGATGTGGTACTCCATCAACAACTCCGCACCAGTGGCTGGAAGTTACCTCCTTTGAGGTTTGCTGATTTCCGAGTGTCCTTTGGTAAGTCACACTGTCACCCCAGAAGCCCCCCCCCCAACACCTTCCCCAACCGAGCAAAAAATACAGAGTCTCCAAAAAATATGGAAAATACTCTTCTCTTCCACATATGGAAGACTTGAAGGACATGGTGCCACCAGGGCGGCTGGGCTGCGCACCCCTGTGCTATTGGATCCGTCTTGACCCAATCCCTAATCTCGTTGGCTCTTCTGGGACCCGCTTCAAATGTCTCAGTGGTTCTTTTCCATCCAGTCCCAGCTTTCATCACTGTCCTTCCGGTTCTTTTCAGCTTCTATAATTTCTCTGTAGTGCCGACGGAAAAATCCCATCTGTCAAGCAAGAGGGCAACAATTTGAGCCGTTAGAAGGATATCTGTGTTACCATCTCAACTCAGCATTTCTAATATTTTGAAAGTTACCTTCAAGCTACCGGCTTAATAAAATGTTCCTCCATACAAATTCAGAAACCTTCACTTTTGCACTTTATCATAGGGATTAAGAGTACTTTTTAAATAATGTTCATTCCTCTTCAGAATTCACAGGACAAAGCACCAGGTCTTTGTGTTAAGGTTCGCTTTCTGTGTGCTGACTGGTTATTTATATATCTTTTGTGTATATGAGAGTAACTAAAAAGCTATAAATAGCATGACAAAGCAATTTTCATCTTTAAACCACCACACATACAGTAAAACACACACAAAACATATGAAGTATACAAACCAATTGGGCTTTGTTTAATGATTAATTAAATAAAAAGGCCAGAATTCAAATTATTTCTTACCTTACTAATTTCATGCTTTTGTCATCCACATGGTCTGTTGTCAAGTTTTCAACATTAAAACATTAATATAATTAATTATCTGCTGTTAATGTTTTCTGTCTTTAGGCTAGCAGCATTAGAATTCTGTCTATTCTAACCTAAAACTTACAATAATGCAGCCACATGACAGCAACATCTATCATGCTTGAAAAAAAAAGAGATTGCAACATATCTTCGATTGTTTTTCTGCTGGTAAATGAAAAGCTGTTTGCATTTGACCCTGAGTAAAGTATTGAAATGCACTATCACTGAGAGTTTTTTTTTTTTCAAACAACCCCTTTTCTTAGCTGTATTAATACAAAAATAACATAACTTTAGATCAGATAACAAGTCATGCTCTGGGTTCGCTGGAATGGATTATATCTTCAAATTAAATATTTGCAAACCAAGAATCTCCCACTGTGAAAATAATGGAAAACAACAGATTTTTGGGGAGTTTGAAATCAGTTTGAGTGTCATGGCATGGCCTCTTATCCAAAAGTATCAAGAATCTAAAGTTAATATACAAAAGCATGAAAAACAATAAGAATGTAAAGTAGCACATTAAGTATTTCCCTCACAGAGTTGTGCTGTTTCCGTCGGAATTTAATACAGTGTGCCAGTTTACATATAGTGGAAGAAATGAAGATATGAGGAGAGAGTAGCGGCCTCATGGTGTGTAACTAAACAAAAGCTGACTCTCTCACTACGAGTCCATTCATTTATCTACATTTGGCTACTAAAGTTTATTGACATAGACCTGTGCTCTCCTCAGGCATTTCCTGAAAATAGCAATACAGGACATGCGCCACTCTTGTAAGTGGGGTTTGTTTTGGCAAGATTTGAAGAGCTGGGGTACGGGGGAGAAATCTATCCCTAGGCCAACATTCCAAAGCTTAGTTGTGGTATTCCCGATGGAAGATGAGGCATTGAAACAGAAAAAGGAGTTCTGTGCTAACAGGGCTTCTGCACATCAGTGTGATTGCTATTTCCCCTAAACATTGCTCTTTCATGTGAGCAGCATAGTGTGAATTACCATCCAGTCTGTGATTTGTCCATTTCATGGCTGTCAAAGGCTCCAAGAAAGCTCGCACCCACAAGTTTTCCCCCTACCTCCAGCTGTCTCTGTTTAGCTGGATACTGTGCTGACAGCTAACCAGAGTTAAATGGTGCTCCTGGCTGTCATAAACAGCTTTACTTTTCAAGCGTTTCAACATTGCAAGCTGAAAATCAAATGTTGTGCTCATGGGCTCGCTTACCTTCCAGAGTAGCACAGCTAACAACAGAAAGATGAGGATTCCCACCAGCAGACTGATGGCAATGATCCAGCCAACGACGTAACCCCGCGGCTCCTGACTGTGGAGAGCCTCAAACACCAGCTGAAACACAACCAGCTTTAGTGAGAAGCCCTCAAATACAGCACACATGCAGAGACACAAGAATGCGCATTAAGTCATGAGCTGCAGATGATGCAATGCAGAACAAAATAACTCTGATGGAACAGCTTGTTTCAGTATGTTTTAGCTGTGATCTAAATACCTGAGGAGCTACATATAAATATATAATCACACAGTAGTACAGAACAAATGTAATAATACTCTACATTATTTGCTCTTAACAATTGATAATTCGTTCAAATCTGGATACTGGGGTCCTGAACATGTTCCCATGAGAGGACTGGG